GGGAGGAGGAATCCAACAAACGACAATAACAAAAATCAGTGACTGACTTAGAAAAGCATGCCTTTCCATATATAAAAATACCAGTTGTACCACTACGTGTGAATATCTACATACACTGCATGAAAATGCTATGCGATGTTAATATCAAATTAAATAAAATTTCATGCTAAAATTTGATTCACTAAAACATATCTATTGACTACTTTGTATAGGATCTGTAGCTCATACTCCACACATTTCTTTTAATTTGTTCTATAAAGAGCCTGAAAGTAATTGCATTTTGATGACATTATTTAAAACTTCCATGGTCATCATAAAAGGAAGTAGGGAGTGTCTGAGTCAGAGGCTTTAAATGTCAGAGTAACGCAAGGAAATCTTTCAGACTCACCCAACCAGCTGCTAACTTCCTCTATGAAGAGAGTAAGGTAAATATCTCTGAAGCCCACAACTTAACATCTAGCCAGACACTGCGTGAGAGAGGGAGAGAAGGAGAGAGCTAGAGCAATGGCTGCTTCTCTGTAGCTGAGAGTCTGAACTCATCAAACAACACCAAAATTGTCGCGTGGTCCTGTTCGCAGCTTCTCTACTTTACAGCTTGGCTACGGCTGACTGTATGTGGTGTCATGGGGAGAACGGCATGCACCAGTGTGCCAGGGATCAGAGACAAGTGGGACACTTCCTATTCCATCTTGGAATAGATAAACAGCCTTTGGGGAATTATGTACGATTTTATATTTCTAGTGTTCTTATCTAAGGCATTGCGAGTTGGAATATACTGATTTTTGAGATTAGAATTGAACTCTTTTAATCACACAGCGAGGTCCTTGTCTGATTAAAAGAAATGGAAAGATTTGAAAGTACTTCTGTAGAGGAGTAATTGACCTATAGCATTACATTTGACATTCATGATAAGAATAAAAATTAAGCATGCTCAATAGTAGTTATTCATTCTTCCCCAATATGTGTATTTAAGTTTGGTAAATACAGGTTTTTTCCCCCAATAATGTGCCATGAAATATGATTACTTTTCCTTGTACAGACAAAATTATCCTAAGATTAGATAATATTCTGATCAAACATTTAAGGCACATAATTTATCAATTAGGTGTAAGTTTAGCTTTATGAAATATTACATTATAATTTCAGGTTTTATTGAATTTTTTTCCTTTTTTATGCTTTATTTAAAAATTATTTTTCTTGCTTTTTATTAAACTTAAAAAACTTTTAGTGAGAATATATATGTTCTTTTGTTTTGACACAAATAATATGTTGACAATAAGAAGGAAGGGGAAAAAATTTCTTGGATTGAAATATACTGTATATAAGCAAATAAGCTTTAGGATCCCAAGGACTTTTAGATTGTCAAGTCTGATGTTTGGGATTTAAAAACCTTCATGAGTTTTTGCTAATTTGCGTTAACTTGAAAACTGTAAACTAATTACATATCTGTATATTAAGCTAAAATATTTATGTAAGCAATCTAAGAATATGGTATATTTTTAGTGAAGTGAAAAATTAAGCTAAAGTCAAGTTCTTTCATGATTTGAAAAGAATTTCCTTTCATTGTTGTGTCCAGACGACGGCCTAGTGGGTAGTATGGTAGTGACATCTTATTCTGTAGCTTAACGTAATTTATTTTCATTTTCAATTTCCTTTAGTTATTTAACTGGGACCCAAATCATGGGGTACTTATGGTTGGCTTGTTTGAATTTAGTTTATTTTTCTTGGTCCTTGTTTATTTTTATTTTTTTAAACTTGCTGAAAAGTAATTACAGGAGAAAGGAAAATCATAATTTTGGAACTAATGCTAATTTTTATTCATCTGTCAGTCACCTGATGGAATCTTGGGGTGTAAAACAAGTAAAACAAAATTCAGCCTTAAATAAGTTATCTATTTGCCAGTGGAATTCAGACTTTATATCAGAGGAGAAAATAATTTTGCTTTCATGTCTAGAACCTACAGTGCACCTGCATAGGGAAAGATAATAAAAACAATTATGTGAGGTGGAACATACTTTTTGATATTTATTTTCAAAGTGCCTGAACATGCCTGTAGAAGAACATTTGAGGATATATTATGTAGTGCCATTTATCATTTTAAAAATCATTGCTTGGGAATTTATAATGATCTAGGAAGGCCTTGGCTCATGTTTCTCTGTAATGATTATTTGTGCAGTGTGGTTTCTTTGCCATAAAATTTGCCTAAGCCATAAAAATATGTAGTCAGTTGTCTGAGTGAAGGAATCTCAGTGTAGCTTCTCTTCTCTTCAATATACGATGGTAGTTTTGTGAAAAGTCACCAGGATGATTAAAAGATTAGAAAATGAAAATTTGTGATTATTGCTTAGAAAGTGATTTAAGGAATGATTTTTAAAAACATGAAAGGTTTTTTTTCCCCCAGGAGGTAAAATTATAAGACATAAATTTGTAAAGCAACAAGAAGAATTGGGGCTTGACCCAAGAAAAATCTATCAAAGTGTGTTTTTGTACTTTGGGATATGATACTAGCAAGTACCTTCCCAACCCCATTGGACCACACGCAGGTCCCCAAACAGGGTCATTTTTAAGTGTTTCAGGTCTTAGTTTAAAGGTTCTAGCCCATGCTCTATTGAATATATTGAAATATACACACAATCTTCCCTTTAATATAACTTCTGCTGTAAATATTTGGAAAGGATTATTAAGATTTTGCTTTTAAAGTTACTTTCCTAAGAGTGATTAATTTCACTGACTATGATTTTCAGCAATCACATGAAGTCTTGGAAATTGTTTGAAGAAAGAGAATCTAGTACTCAATTTCTCCCTAAAGTTAAGGAACTTCTTATGCCACTAAATTTAATATAAAAATCAACTTATGCTTCAATTTAGTATATTTACTTGTATACTCATTAATTTCAATCTTATCATTTTTTTCATATTTTAGAAGCGATACTTATTTTTCAGATGTAAAATATGATTTTGAGCTCCTGAAAAGTTTGGGGACCCTAGGCACTGCCAGTATCACTCACTGGGTAATGCTGTCCTGCATCTACCAACTCCCGTCTCTTGTCCTCCGCCTCCTCCTTTTCTGGGAGGGGTGTATCCTATTGCTCCCATCACAGCTGCAACTGCTCTTCTCTTGGATTACATGGATTTTATATTGAATCAATTTGAATTTTTCTGGATAACTATTAAAAGAACATAGACGTTCTTTCTTGGAGTAAAGGTGTGTGGAGTGTGAACAATTTTCTTACCCTATATTCCCAGGGACATAACTGAGGAGAAGGACCTATAGTGAATTGAAAGTAGCTGAATTTGACCTTGAAAAATAGCATCGTTTATGGCCTCAAGCCTCAGTGATGTTCTCAGGGCTTGAATTCCAAAGTGCAGAATATGGATTCCTCAGGAATACTCTGGAAATGCCAATTTGTTGCCTTTTAGCGCAGAACAGATTATTACCATTTTGTAGAGAATAAGGAACGTAGAAGCTTCAATTCATTGACCCTCTACAATGGATCATGCATTATACTAAAGTTGTTTTTCAATTTTTCTTTAAACTCAAGCTCTCATTTGATAAAATAAAACTGAAAATGTATTTTAATGTCATTTGCAATTTTGAAAAGGCATTAAACTTTTGTGACTTCCACAAAGTCAACACAACAGCAATTTTAGAATTTTCTTTTTTCAAATCACACATATTTCCCTCCTCCTGAACTTCTTCCTTTTTTGCACTGTGCCCTGATCTCCCATCCCAAATGCCTGGACATTATGGTGTGGTCCTCTTACAAGGGTACAAGTGGAAAGATTTCATACCTGTCTGTCCTCTAAACTGATCATCTCACCGAGTAAGATGAAATGTAGAAGCACCGAGAAGTTAAAGAGTTGACCCAGGTCACAAAACTATTAGCAACAGGCCTGGGATTAGGACTGAGCCCCTGAAGTGTCCATGACTCTTGGAAGCTGCCACACTATCAGGTGTGATACCACTGAATATTCAATGGGAGTAAGTTGGAGTATCCATATTAATTCACTTAGTCTGGGACAACTCCAACTGTGGTGTTGGGATCAGTTTGAGTATTGTGGAGAGAGTCTGTAGAGAAATACCAAAGCAGACTCCTGAAGACTTCTGTGGTGGTGTCCGCCCTCTATATTTCAGAAACAACATTGTCCAGAATTTGAAGATAATCTCACTTGCATCCTGGATTCTAAATTTGCTATTATATCCTAGGTTTGCTAGTAAGAGAGAGATCTCCGTGTTGGAGAGTCTTGTATGTGTTCATGATACGTAATATGGTAATCCCATTTTCCAATCCAAGAAAATCAGAAAATGGCCTGGAAAGAATAAATACACTTATAGGACAAAGGATGCATCAGATTTGAAATTAGGACAGGCTGAAAAAAGTTAGCATATATCATTACTCTAAGAATGTGTAGAGAGGCCGTAACGGAGATAAAGGGTAAGAAAATGTGTTAAATCTTCAAATTTTAGTGTTTTTGTTAAATTACATATAATTTAGATAGCAAGGGCTAGAACCTCTTGAATAAACTGCCTAATGTGGTAATATATATTTTACTTTAAACAGCACTTTTGTGCTATTTCAGCTTAAAAATCTGGTGTGATTTGAGAAATAGTAGGCCCCACGAATTTGTCTGCTTAAGATTTGAAAACAGAACTATCAAAGGCCACTGAAGACAGAAATGTCACATTAAGGAGAAGCAGGAAAATGCACTGGATATGAATATGAGAGCATAGGCAGAAACTCTGAAAGACTGCACCAAAGAATTTCAAGGTAAAAAAAAAAATGAGTGTATCCTAGTATTGTTGCCAGAGAGACTGTTTGATTGTTGGTAACAAGAATACTGGACCAAAGGAAATTTTTCTTTTAGTTCTAAGCTATTTAATGGTTACATCCGAGGTTGAAGAAATGAAGCTTCAAATTTAAAATATAGGTGAATATAAAAACCACAACAGTCACAGAAAATGTACTCAGAACTCAGTTCATTTTCTCGTTGTTCTCCAGGCTGCACTCCACTTCACGATGGCCTCCCTTGCTGCAGCGAATGCAGAATTTTGCTTCAACCTGTTCAGAGAGATGGATAACAATCAAGGAAATGGGAATGTGTTCTTCTCCTCTCTGAGCCTCTTCGCTGCCCTGGCCCTGGTCCGTCTGGGTGCACGAGGCGACTGTGCTTCTCAGATGGATAAGGTCAGTCGCGGTTGTACCACCACCCACGGCTTCTGCAATTAACCATTAGGGCAAATTGTTTTCCTAAGAGAATATTTTACTGCAGTGGTCCCATGCAATTGGAGACATCTCAGTGAACTCCTCTCCAGATGTGAAGGGGACACACAGCTGGCAGACAGTAGTAATGTTCCCAGAATTGCAGCTTTGGTTCTTTTCCTTGGTACAGTGCTTCTCGGAGTGTGTTTCCCAGACTAGCAGCATCAGTGTCACCTGCTGAACTTGTTAGAAATGCAAATGCTTGGGCCCCACCCCAGACCTGCTGAATCAGAAACCATGGGATGGGGCCCAGCAATCTGCTTTAATCAACTCTCCAGGTGCACTGCCAAGTTTGAGAACCACTGCCTGAATAGATACGGCTGAGAAAGAAGAGGAGAAGCAGACACCAGTGAAGTCCTAGTTTAAGCACTGGTCACCTGGGCACAAATGACATAATAGGACAATCCAGAAAATCACAGCCTACCTTAGTTGTCACCACCACCACCTTAACCACCTTTAGAAAGTGCTTATTAACTTACTCTTGTACACCGCACTGAGCCAGGCTGTACAAGGAAGTGAAATGGTCACGGTTGCCCTCCCTTCTGTCAGGAATTTGTCATCAAAATTCAGTAGCAGGAGAGATACCAGGTCCTGACTACATGTGAAGGCCTTGATGTCATCTCTTTCTGCCTACTGATTCCTCCCGTTATTTTAGTTCATAAGTGAGTGCTGGAAGGAGCTTGTCCCTGTTATCACCTTTCACACCTAAATACTTGTTGACAATTATTTGTGCAGATGATTTAAGCTAGAATAATTCATTTCTCTCTCTGGGTAGCTCAGTGAATATTTGTGACTGGGAACCACCACAGAGTCTAATGCCATTTTTCAAGGAGCTGGAGTGGTTCACAGCCCCAGCCCATTGAATACCTCGCTCTAATGAGATGGTGAGAATAGCTGAGAACTTCTTCAGTGTCAGGCTCTGGGATAAGCTCTACAAATGTTATCTTATTTGTTGCTCACAGTAACACTGGAGTAGATATTATTAGCCTGATTTTATGGAGGGGTTGTCATGCCACCTCTGTGCCAGTAAATGGCAGAGCTGCGATTCAAACTCAGGGTAATCTTATTCTAAAGCAGGATTTCTCAACGTCGGCCCTACTGACATTTTGGGCCAGACAATTCTTTCTTGTGAGGGACTTGTCCGTGCATTGTAGGAGGGTTAGCGGCATCCCTGGTCTCTACTCACGGGATACCATTAGCGACCCTCTCCCCAGTGGTGACAGTCAAAACTGTCGCCAGGCACTGCCAAATACCCTCCAAGAGGCAGAACCATCCCCCAGTTGAGAGACATTTCACCTAAAGCCCAAAACTAAAATGCAGCCCAACGAAGATTATTGTAAAGCTTCACTTATTCTAAAGTCAATATTTTGATAAATAAACATAAAGCCTTTGAAAAAATCTAGCAACTAATAAAAATGTTTCCATTTATTAATAAAAATACATAAAGTTTTAGAACCAAGTGAGACAACTCAGTGTCATGGAAACAGAACACTGGTTTGGGAGCTGGAGGATTAGACTCAAATTCTGACCTTGGGAAAATTGGTTCATCTCTTGGTCCTCAGTGTCCTTACTTATAAACCGAGGGGGGTGATTTGATGGTATTCAATGAAAAAAAATAGCTTTACAATTGTTCCCGTTCAATATGTTAGGCAATGATGGGTAGGCTTTACACCTGTGATGACAACTCGAGTTTCACACAACCGAAGACACAGCTATTTATTATTATGCTATTTCAGGTCAGGGGCATTTTCCGGGCGACTGCCTGGTGCAGCTCCTGAGGTTTCCTTGCCTGGATCCCTTCAGGGACCAGGGTCAACAGCTCACGGAAGATGAGTCACAGTGAACACAAAGAGATGCTATCCTGTGGAGTTTGCTCTTTTATAGTCATTGCCCTGCCAAAGACATTTTATAATTCTTGCTATTATAACCTCCTACAGGAAACATGCAAGAGGAAAAAATAGCAACTATTAGACACAAAAACTTTCATTATAATTTATTTCTACAAATTTTTAGTCCTCTGCAAAATGCCTTCTTGGAAATTAATTTTAGCCCCACCCTACCATGGATAGTTTCTCTTTACAACACCTGACCCCTGACACCATGGGTCATGTATATTTTAGATAAATCCACTCTCAATCAATTTAGTTGTAATTCATGGTGTCCGTCCATATGACTCTTTGAAGCATTACCATGGACCAATTGTCTTTTTTCTTTTTGATTTTCAAATGGTCACAGTTGGGCCATAGAAGTCCCTTTAAATTTGTCCTTTTTAAGCAATCCTTCCAGATGACTCTAAAACATCTTCACTTTTTGACAAGATGTTTTGGATCTGTCGTGATGTTTTTTGGCTCAAAGAAGGGTCAGCTACTTTTACAAAGCCCTGGTTCCATTTCTCGATAACAGTATTAAAGTCCAGAATCCGCATGTGCAAGTTTCACTGGATTTAAAGTGGCATGGAAGCTGCTTGCCGTGTGAGTGAAAGAGCCGGAAAAGTATATTCATTTACAAGGTCATGTGTTCAAGTTTATATTTTTTTATTTAGCTCTAGTATTACTGTGCTTTCTTATCTTGTTTTAATATAAAAGTCTTAAAAATTTATTTCCCTTTTTTTGAGCTGCCTGATCTTCTCTTCTCTTACATAACATTTCCATTGAAATAGAATGTCATAAATTTTTTCGAAAATCACGTGTTTATATTATGATAGTATTTTAAACTTACACAAAATTGAATTTTCCAGAACACAATTGAGCTTTACCAAAAACATTTGAAAAAATAATTATTATAATACGCTACTTATTCTACCACTTCTATGAGAAGTAATAGTTTGTAATTTGGCATGAACACATGGGTAGACGCCCATTGGGATGCAGATGACTCATAGTCTCTTTGTTCACCCTCTATGCAATTATCCTGAAATTTCTTACATTGTATACACCAATGATTTTCCTTTTTTGTCATCTTCTGAGTATGTCATCAGTTATGAAAAAGGAAAATAAATTCTGATTTTTCTACATAGGGGCATCAGGGAATATGAAAACATAGAACAGCTAGCATTTTGAACTGTGATAAATATGCCCTTTGAGATTTTATTTAATATTTACCACATTTGAATATTTGCTAGTATCATTATTCATCTCTATTCCTGGTAGTTTTATTGTCGAATGCATAATTTCTTAGAATTTTTTAAAATATAAAAACATGTATGCATCATCTCAATATTTTACCAGTCTAGTTTACTAAAAGACAATTAGGAATGTCAGAAAAGACAACCAAATTAATATCAGAATGAAGTAAAATTACAAATGATCAAAGAATGATGTTAAATATTTATACTTATTAAAGCTTTCTTCAAAAAGTTAGGAAGAATGACTTCTGGAGATTTATATAATTTGTATAATACCGTAGCTTGGGTTTCACATGAGCTAGCTCAGAAAAGACATGAGCATTTTTGAGTCTTGACACTTTGCCATGATATTTTGTATTTCTGGTACATCCATATATTCATAAATACCAACCTATACAATTAAGACATTTTGAGGAGGAAGATTGGCCCTGAGCTAACACCTGTGGCCAATCTTCCTCTTTTTGCTTGAGGAAGAGTGGCCCTGAGCTAACGTCCGTGCCTATTTTGTACGTGGGTTGCTGCCACAGCATGGCTTGATGAGTGGTGTAGGTCTATGCCAAGGATCTGAAACCCTGAACCTGGGGCTGCTGAAGCAGAGCATGCTGAACTTAACCACTAAGGCCCTGGTCTGGCCCCTTTAGGACTTTTTTTTTAAAAAAGAAAACTACAAGAAATTTAAAAAGTTAGTCTGACTAGGAGGAATTTCAGCCAATAAGTAGGGAAGATTCCGTTTTTCTTGTGAGGCTTCACATTAATTACTAGGTTCTTTTGATGAGGTAGTGATTAAAGGTTTAAAACTCTGAAGAGCAGACATTATTCAAAAGGCTTTTCCACACAGCCATTTATATTTTACTCAAGATAATGTTACATAATGATCAATATGACTTCCAACGTCATCTCAGCCTTCTCTTGGTCAAATTTTTCTCCTTGAACTGTTTCAAAGATCATACAATGGGACCCTCCCACCCCTCACCCCTCATCTTAGGAAGGAAAAATACAAAGGGAATACCCAAGTTCAAGGTCTGTGGACACAAGCTAGCCAGTGCTTTTCTCCCTTTTCATCTCCTACTGAGGTGATTGATGGTGATGACTTCCATTTGCAACTTTTCCTTTTTCATTTTGGGGGCAGAGAGGTAAACTTCATCTATTTTCTATTATAATTGTTGCAAAGCAGCAAAAATGAAAAAACTATAATGACATAGTCCAAGTTATAAAGACTCATGCTTTTATTTCCTCCCTTTATAATAACAAAATAAAATAAATAATTCCATGGAAATGGGAGGTTCTTGTTGATCTTCCTCTCTTAGTGATGTTACCAACTCCGTTGTTCACCAACAGAGGAGTCATAGTCCCAGTGAATTGACCACAAAACTGTGAGGCAGAAATGTTTAAGGACCTTGGCATATTCTACCCCCCAACTCTATCAGTTGGGAAGAGATAACTACAATATTCTTTAAGGCATTGACAATCTTCGTGTTTGGCCAAGGCAAAATGAGAAAGAGGGCTCACGTTCTTCATGCTCCACAACAGCATAGAACTAGCGGGTGGGCAATGACACCTGGGCTGGTGGTGCCTTGTTGCCTGCAAAGACCCCACTTGGGAATTTTAAAATGACTGCTAATTTGTATATCAAATTTGCCTGTTGACTTTGCCTTCTCTCTCACTCTGACTCATAATAATTATTATTGCAGATTAAGAGGATGTGGAAATTGGGGTAGCTTCCAATTCTCTGCGACTTATTAAGACTAATACTAACACTAATAATGCCTTTATAAGTTTTCATATCTCTTTCTGAGCTGTTCCACTTTCCCCTAGCCAATAAGATGGTGCTATTAATTAGACATCTGAAGCCTTGACGTTGAAAGCCCCCACAGAGGCACTGACAGCAACGCTGACCTGTTTAATTAAATCCCCATACATAATTTCTTTACCCAGTGTCAGAATGGTCCTTCACACCTTCTCCCTACCTATACTCCCCACTAGGGATGTGGTTCAAATATCGCACATAAGGTCCCATAAAGAAAACCTACATCTTTCTACTGAAAATCCAACCAGTAAGATTCTACGAGTCACAAACTGAGACTGTAGAACAAATCCACCATTGCTTAGCAGTTATTTAGATCTTTCATACAATTAGCTGGGGGAATATAAGTTAAATGACTCCTTGGCTGTGTCTGTGTCTTGTCCATCCACACCCAGGAGGCAGCACAGTTGCAGAAGTGATTCTCATATGCATAGTTCACTGTATCACTTCCTAGTAGAGGAGCTCAGATTCCATAGACATAAGGGTCTAGAGAACTTCAGATGGAGTGCCAAAGAAAATCAAGACTTGGGTGTAGTAGCAATCATTAGAATATTGGGATTATGAAAGCCACACTGGAAAAGGAAAAAGCTAAAACTACTTAATCAAATAATTGCAGGATCATAAATTATATCTCTCAAGTCCAAATTTAGCTTCATATTTGGAATTTCCTAGATATTCAATAACTACTTCTCCCTTTTATGTCTTGTTGCCTACGTAGTTAGCCCTAATCTTGCCTCCCACCTCATTAACCCAAGTTGTCACTTTTTTTTTTTTTGTGAGGAAGATTGTTGCTGAGCTAACATCTGTGCCAGTCTTCCTCTATTTTGTGTGGGATGCCACCACAGTGTGGCTTGATCAGCAGTGCCATGTCTGTGCCTAGGATCCAAACCTGCAAACTCCAGGCTGCTGAAGTGGAGTACTTGACCTTAACCACTACACCACCAGGCCAGCCCCACAAGTTCTCATTTTTTATTTGACATTTTTTTAATAGCATGTATTGCAATATATTTTATTTTATTTTAATTTTTTATTGCAGTAACATTGGATTATAACATTATATAGCTTTCAGATGTACAGGGTAATATATTTAGAATTCTGTGTAGATTACATCATGTTCACCACGCGGAAACTCATTACAGTCCATCGCCACACATGTGAGCCTAATCACCCCTTTTGCCCTCCCCCCTTCCCTATGGTAACCACCAATCCAATCTCTGTTTCTATGTGTTTTTTTGTCGTTGTTTCTATCTTCTACTTATGAGTGAGATCATATGATATTTGACTTTCTCCCTCTGACTTATTTCACTTAGCATAATACCCTCAAATTCCATCCATGTTGTCACAAATGGCCGGATTTCATCATTTCTTATGACTGAGCAGTATTCCATTATGTGTATATACCACGTCTTTATCCATTCGTCCCTTGATGGGCATCTAGGTTGCTTCCAAGTCTTGGCTATTGTGAATAATGCTACAATGAACATTGGGCTGCATGCATCTTTATGCATTTGTGTTTTCAAGTTCTTTGGATAAATACCCAGCAGTGGAATAGCTGGATCATATTTGACTCTTTTTGATGCTTGTCTAGATTTAATCAGCGAGTAATTATTAAATGACTCCCTCAGAATGAGCAAACCAAAATAATTAAATGCGTTTCATTTTGTAGCCATTGATTTATTAACTCTCCCAGTTTATGACACTGTCCCCAATGAACAATCCAGATCCTAAGCAAGGCCATGGGGCAGCTGCACATTTCATTACTGCCCCGCATGCTAACAAATACACAACACAACTACTAGTGGTGAAGGCTTGACTTCTTGTTGAATTTCACCAGGTCCCTACTTGCTCAGCAGGACCTAACTGCTTTCCTTGCTCCCTGTTGTCAGATGCTGCACTTTAACACCATCTCAGGACATGGAGACTCTTCTATTACTCAGGTAAAGACAATCTGTTCTTTTAGAAAAAGGGAATGTGAGACTAAATTTTATTTATTTTGAGGAAGATTGACCCTGAGCCAACATCTGTTGCCATTCTTCCTCTTTCTGCTTGAGGAAGTTTGTCGCTGAGCTCACATCTGTGCCAATCTTCCTCTATTTTACGTGGGATGCTGCCACAGTGTGGCTTGATGAACTCTAGTAGGTCTGGGCCCAGGATCTGAACTTGCAAACCCCAGGCCGCCAAAGCAGAGCGCGAGAACTTAACCACTAGGCCACTGGGCCAGCTCCTAAATTTTAAAAAAATTATTGTCTTGCTGATATATTTCATTATGCTCTCTATCCTTTCAAAGCAAAGGAACATGTCTCATTCAGATGTCCACATTGTGGATATTTCAAATACAATTTTTGATAGTTTACTTGTTAATTATTAATACACCAACACATTACTTGTGTGTTGGCCAGATTTTGGCAAGATAAAACAGAACTAAATGTTTTACTTTTGTCCTTTGGTATTTATAGCCAACTCGTATTGGTAAAAGGAATTGTTTAGTGCACATATTAGGCACACAAATTAATTATCTTCTGTTAATAATTTTATTCTCAGCTTAATGGTTTATTTTAGTAAATCCTTTAATTATCTTTGATCTCAGACATTATTATGAGAAATGGGGAGAAATTGTAGACATATGTGACATTGCTACTTTTGTAAGCATCATTATTTTTCAACTCTTTTATTATGGTATGATATAAAAGTTTTATTTCACATGTAAATAAGAGTACGCATATCTCTGGAATCCAAGAATAAATTTTTATAATTCCTTTTGATAACAGCCAGGACTCCAATCTCAACTGAAAAGAGTTCTCTCCGATATAAACACATCTCACAAGGACTATGAGCTCAGCATTGCCAATGGTCTTTTTGCGGAAAAAGTGTTTGACATTCATCAAGTAAGTGCAGCCTCCCATGTTAGAAGGTTATTTTCACTCTGGACCCTAGTCTTATTCAATCCACCATCTGAATAAAGGCTTGTACCTTTCTGCCGAGCCACACAAAAGTGATTTTTTTTTCTTGTCGCTACCAATCATGTTTCCTATTGTCTTCTAAATATCATCACTCTGTTTCCAAAAAACAACTTCGCTTCACCCGAGTCATCCCAAGTATTCAAGGCCACCAGACGGACAGGCTCCACAACAAAAGAGAACCTGTCCCCTAGCTGTGATCGACACTGGGGTGGGGGAGCAGACAGCCCATTTAGGGTTGTCCATGGGTGGCAGAGGAGAAAGTCTACCCATTTCTCCTCTGAGCTTTGTGTCTACTGAGATAGTTTGCATTCTCACTGCTGAGTTCTCTCTCTTCACTCCCTTTTTACGCAGCCATGCCATTTCATCTCTCCTTCCAGGAGCTACTTACTTATCTTTTCAGTAAGATCACTTATAAAAGAGTTCCTGGTAGGAGACACTGCCAGATAAAGTCAGCCATTGGCAGAGGAGCAACTTAGACTCAACACAGAGGTGGGGAATGGGTTCACTTGAGGTCATCAGACTAATTTTTAGTATTACTATATGGTATTTATATTATCAATTCATTCATTGTAGCATCCTGCTCCCCCTAAGACCATTGAGACCCAGAATGCCCTCTATGTGCTACTATGCTCATCCCATGCTTTGGACCCATCATTGCTGTGACAAGCAGAAGCTGGTTAGTACTATTCAAGCAGACACAGAGGCCATGAGTCTCTGGGCATGTTTGCTCTCCCGTTTAACTCTCCACTTCTCAGGTAGCTACAAAACTCCACCGCCTCTGTGACATCTCTGGGCTGATCTCCACTTGCGTCTTTGCCAGCTCTCTGTGTTCCACCCAACCATTATTGTTTCCTCTGTCTGTCACCCACTCAAATTCTTTGCCCCTTTCCAACACCACTCCCAAATCCTTTGACAGTCTGCCAGTTATGAAGCATTAGGCCACTTTGTTTTTTAATCTTCCCAAAACAATCTTGCACAAGCTTTACAGGGGCCACCCTGTATATTCGGCCCCACCTTTTGTGTGTCTACTCCCACGCATACTGCTGTGTCCCTGAGGGACTGCTACCTCTTTTAAACTGGAAGTTGATGCATCTATCATTGCTACTGTTTATAGTAGATTTCCATGTTCCTTTTTCTAGCACTCAGTGCAGTGTACCTAGAAGCACAATAAAGGTGAGATCTGATCAAAAATATGAAAAATAGAGATACTGCCATTTTTTCCTCCCAAACATTTACAAGTACAGTTAGTTATTCTAAAAAGGACTTTTGATTAAAAATGTAACTATTATCAGCTTTCAATCATTCAGATGAATACAAAGATAGATAATCTCCAAACTTTTTACATTTTGTTTTATAACACTTTTTTTTCACTTACATTCGAATATGGAGAAGTCCACTGGAATTGGTGATGATAATAATAATACATAAATTGTCTTTACAAAAAGTATGGTATTGTAGAAGGACCAAGCCACCATCTCCGAAATCTTGTTCTCCTTCCTCCTCTAATCCGTGCTAAATATGCCTTGGATCAGACCTCTGTAAACGTTACTCCATACACCCCAATTCTTACCCATTTGGGGCAACTTTACTGTCCCTGTGGATGACTCAACTTCCCTCCTTACAATTTCCTGACCTTCGCTCTACACCGTTATAGTAACTGATGCCCAAGCCACACCCTGAAACTAATCAACACTCACAACTATTGTGCTTCTGAAATCTACACCTCTAGCTTCCCATTTTGTGGCCACATGATCCCATGGTTCTTATTCTTTTTATTTCATCCCCACTTTACCTGTTCTTCAACTGCATTGAGTTATTCAATCTCTGGAACTCTCTATTTTCTCTTAACTATCAGCTCTCTCGTAGCTTTATTGCCATACCAAACTACTATATGCATCCATTCCTTAATCACTCTCTTACCAACACCCTCCTTCCCCAACAAAGCCCCAAATCTGGATCAGTCCATGACTTCCCTCAGCAATTGTGTCTGGGCTACTATATGATACTTGTGGAAAGCCTAAAAGTGTGCAGTTACCGCTACAGCATCACGGTCTCCCATCCCAGCTAAACTTCCTCAGTGGTGCCCAACAGTGAACTTTTGTGTTCACACTAATTTCTCTCATTCTTCACAACAGTTATTGAAATCTCTTCTACTTTTCTCAATTTCCCAACAACCCCTACTGGCACCATCAGTTTCAACTAGGTCTGTGTCATGAACTCTAGGTCTTTTGATGCCTTAGATTTGTCTTGTTGCTCCTGGAGCGTGAGAAAGCCCAGTGTTGTAGGGGTCAAAGTCAGGCCTGGAAGCCACGGGATTTAGTGGAAATGTCCCCCTGCCCATTCTCCAGCACACAGCCTGCCTCCTGGAGTCGTCAGAATCAGACAGTAATGGGACATCAACTGCTGTATTTGGGTGGGTGGGCAGATGTCTGGGTCACCCAGGACAGCCCGAGATCCTGGGCGACACCCCTTTGCTCACCCAGACTACTGCTCTGGGTGTCCAGGGGTGACTGGTCAGAAGGAATGGGGAGGCTCTGCTCACTGCCCCACACACCCACTGCTCTTGGCCTGGCCAAGACAAGACACTGGGACTTGGTCTGAAATTCCGCAAATCTTTTGTCATGTGTGCCTCAAAAATAGAATTCCCAACTTGGGACAAGCACTTTCAACTTTTAAACTTTATTTCTTTTGGTATAAGAAAGTAATTTAATACTGAAATGAAAGTACATGCTGTAATATACACAGAATGAATATTTTACTTCTGGATAGGCAATTAGATCTTCTTAAAATGTAATGGAAGAATTTTCGAGAGACAAAGCAACAGGGTGGCTCTTAAAGGTGAGTAAATTATATAAATTCATAGAACAGATTGCATAGAAGGAAGAAAATTGGACTTGAATTGTCTTCTATAGCATTAGCTAACACCTCCATCAGATTTGGTAGAAGCATCACAGGTGTTGTTTAATTTTCATTGTGTTATCCTTGCAGGATTTTAATTTATCCCATTTCTGGTAATGCCATCTTGATCACTTGATTAAAGTGATGTCTGCTAGGTTTCCCTGCTGTGAGGTTACTCTTTCCCTTTGTTATTAGATATTTTGTGGGGAAGTGCTTTGAAGTTGTGTAAATATCCCAATCTTGATCAAACTATTTATTTACTTATTTATTTATGTCAATATGAATTCATGCTGTACTATTTTAGTCAAGGGATTATAATCCATTGTTATTATTTTCATGGTTAAATTACCCTTTCACTTTGGCTTCTGTGTTTGACACGTCCCCTCATTCATGGAACACTTTCTCACTTTCTACCATGAGATATTCTAATCTCAACTTCTTCTTTTCCTGCCTCAACCCTAGAATCAGCCATTTCTCCAGGAGCCCTAGTTTCTTTTTAGGAAAATGCATGCCTGTATTTATATGAATGTTCATCTCTTTATTATATGAAGTGAAAACTATGAGTTCACACTGATGTCTCCAATTCCAGTCGGACACCACAGGGTTTGCTTTTTGTTTTCGCTCTATACATTTGTAACTCCCTTCTCTAACAGTGAGAAAACTGGCTGCCATTATCTTTATATACTTACTTATTTCACCAATTCCCCTTTACATAACCACTCTCCCATCACTGAAGCTGTTGCCCCTCCCAATGCGGGAACACCTTCCTCATCCCATGAGAGATCTGCCTGTCCATACCAGGCTGCTCCTCCGTGAGTATACCTCCTCTCTCCATGAAGTCTCCCACACCCCACGATGGTCTGCTCCTCCACAGGATGTCCTTCTCATTCTTTTGGGCTTTGACACCCCATATAGATGCCCTCCTCATTCCATCTAAAGTCTAACACCCACAGGAGGCCATTTCTCCTCAGGGGTGCCTCTGGACTTTGCCTGGGCTCCAAATTCCAGAGCTGAGCCTCCCTGACAAGGAGATGTGCTTTTCATCTTCCTTGGCCACTAATACCTTGTGTTGAATCACTCCTGGATATGAATGGTCTCCTCACTATGGTGGGGCTCTGCTATCCATCTCTACTACTGTGATCCTCCCTACACTGAGATGAATACCTACCTAGGTGTGCCCTTCCTAATCGTCTTGAGTCTGAATTGTTCAGGAAGGAAATGCAAGGGAGAGGGGATAAAAATGAGCTAGTTTTACCTTCTTAATATGTCTCTAAAATTAGTTTCATCTTCCCCACGCCCCTGGAAACTGCCAATACCTCAATTCAGGACCTCTTCATGTCTCTCAGGGTAAACTATAATGACCTTCTAACAAGTCTCTCTATTTCCAATCCATTTCTTCTCTTCTGATTCCTGAGTCACTTTATGAAATTTGAGAACTAGGGACATTCCAGGTAGAAGGAATGCTGCTCAGAGGCCTCCAGAGAGAGAAGACACATGGCACTTCACAGGCTCTTCAGGTAGTAGGGTATGGCCAGAGAGTAGAGTATGAAGGGGGAAAATGGCTTGAAATGAGATCAGCAGATCAGCAGAGCCTGGCAGGCCAGGTCCAGGGCCTTGGGCTTTATCTTACGTCCAAGAAGTAGTCTTGAAGGGTTTTCAGTAGGAAGGGGGTGACACAAGTAAAGGGGGACTAGTTAGGAGGCTATTGAAGTATTTATGGTGAGAAAGCAGTGGTAAAGCGAAGGAGGTGGGCATTAGCGGTAATCTCTGTTAGTCTCCCCTAATACACTTCAAATTAATCTAAATTACAACAGCATGGTTGCTATGCAAATTCACCTTCAAGTTCTCCAGCTCCCCTTCCAGCCACATTTCCATATTTCTAACCATCTTGCATCATCTTTGAAGCAGGAATGAGTCCTTGAGTAAGGTGGTGGAAATGAAGAGACAAGTTCAAAAACATATTTCTTATATGCTTAGTTGGTGGTGATTTGTAAATACAAGACCTGTATATCACTTACAGAAATTGTATATGATTTATATTTATAGAACTATACTGAGCGTGCTGAAAGATTATACAATGCCAAAGTGGAACGAGTTGACTTCACAAATGATATAGAAGATACAAGATATAAAATTAACAAATGGATTGAAAATGAGACACATGGTGAGTGCAATACCCTATTCTTCTCCAAAGTTTGTCAGTTAATTGTGACAGTTGAGAACTGTCACTTAAAAGCTGGCAGTGTTTTGTGAGACATATGAGGGACAGCTCCTCTTAATTCAAAGTCGTGGTTGCTGTCATTTAAAATTGCCTTAGTATTTGTCCACAATGTGGTTTTGAGTAATCTCAATAATTTGAATGCTTTATAACTTTCATAAATCTTGTCTGTTACATTATCTCATGTGACCGGGGAACAATCCTGTGAGACAAATAGATTTTACTATGACCATTTCATAAATTAGTGACAAACTGAGGTAATTTACCCAGTTGACCTCAATATCTTACACCTGGTTAGTGAACAAAGACCAGGAGTGATTTATAGGACACTATTTGCAGTGACCACACCATAGTATTTCATTCTAATGACAAACCCAATGTTTTACTCTTCCTCCTTGGACTAAAGAATTTTATTAAGATTATGACATCGTACTATCTTTGAAATATATTTTTATATCATTGCTTCATCTAAATGATGTCTAGTTTATCTTTCACTTTAAAATTCTCTTCATTTATCAAAATAATATGTGTGGCAAAGGTAGTACCTTCCAGAAAAAATACATCTCTTTATTGGTAAGTCTCTTTCACAATCAGAAACTCAATTCCAGCGAATGTTCTAGATTAGTACTAAACAAATAAGGGAATCTACTCATTGTCTTTTTATTATTCAACTGATTCCAAAGCTAGTCAATTCTGTACTGAAGACTTAGCCTTGATTTATGCTCTGAACAATATACGTGTATTTGCTGAGTCTGGCTCTGTCTCAAAAATACGAGATATGTGACTTGCATTCATAAATGCAAACATTCAACAGCATACAATTAGTCCTGGGAACAAGAATACAGTGTCTCAGTTTTTCCTTTGTTCATTCATTCATCGTTACATCAGTAGGGGGTTACTTTGACCTTTAGCCACCACATGTCTCAAATATACTGTTCGTAAATCAAGAGAAATTATGCAACGACTTTTCTAATAACTGAGTGGAATTCTCTTTTGTGTTTAGTATTTAAGGGTATCGGATTACTAATACCGTTCTCCATTGTCTCTGTTATTTATTTCTCTTGCAAATCTGTGTATAATTACTCTCATTTTGGTAAGTATATGTTCTTAATACCCACTTAAGGGAATGTTTCAAAATGCTGCCAACATTCCACAAACCCACATGTCCATACACTACCACAGCCCATCCTTTTGGAAGTCAAATTTGATGCATCGTGACTGTGCTCTCACTTGTCTTCCAATAAATTCTGAACATTTTCCATTGCCTTTAGGATAATCCAAAATTCTTACCAGACATTCAAGTTTCTTCATTATCCGGCCCCTGCCTCCGACCTTTCCAACCTTACTCCCCCTAACGCATAGGAAGGAGTTAGGATTTCCCGGAATACGCTTTACTCGTCCAGGCTTTCATGTCTTTGAATAAACAGTCCCAGCTCTAGGGAAGTTCTCCCCGCCCCCATCTTGCCTTCTCCTCAAGCAGGTGGCCCAGTCAGAGTTTGATGCCCCCATCTGTGCTCCCACAGCACACTGAGCACATGGGTTTGATACCAGTGTGCTTCAACTGTGTTTGGTTGCCGCCTCCCCTGTGCTGGACTGTGAGCCCGGTGATGACATGGACTGTCTTTCATTGTTGTGATTCAAGTATCCAGAAGAGTGCAGGGCATCTACCAAAAATCTTGTTAAAGTGGAATAAAGGAAGTAATCGGCCCTTTAGACAGAATGGAGTTAAATCACATTTGGAGTGCTGTGGCTTTGTCAGTGCAGTAAAGGCAGCTTGGTGCCTACCAGCAGGGAGGGGCTCTGGGAACTGTCTTCCTGGGTTGGAATCCTGTTGCCATAACTTTCTTGTGTGAAGTTGCACAAATTACTTAACCTCTCTGTGCCCCAGCTTCCTCAACAGGAAACAGGAACAATAATAGTGCCTACCTCACAGGGATTTTGTGAGGAGTAAGCCAAATATCGCACATAAAGGGTTTAGAAAATGTTGGACAGAGTAATTGCTCATAGATTATTACTAATATACTAATTATGACTGTCAACGAAAAATAATCCATAACCAATCGGTAAATGAAAATTTGGGTGAGTTTATTCTGAGCTTAAATCTGACGATTATAACCTGGGAGAGTCCTTCCACAAAGGAACAGAGCACTCCAAAGAAGTTGGGGTATACAGGGTGGTTATATACCCTCAAAGAGGATGTTTCACATATGATTGAAATGTCCCTTTTACAATAGTCACGAGGCTGCTCTGTCAGCACAGCAATTGATGGAAATGACAGATAGGTCTGCTGTCTCACTGAAAGCCGCAGGGTGGCAGGTGTGTTGCCTCGGGCTGGGCACTGCAATCGGTTCCCAGCCTAAAGAAAGATGCTTAATCTTTAAGGAGATGCCAACGTTGGGAGGGGGAAAGAAGTTGCACCTTTATCTCAAGGGCCTTTGCTCTTGCCATAGGGAATCTCTAAAGCAGACATACAAGGTATGCTCAACAGCCTCGGTCAGGCTCTTTTGGAAATACAAGGTCAGGTCGAATTAGGTTTACACAAAATGGTTTCCTCATATACTCCAATATATCCTGTTACTTGCCATTTTTATTTGTCATGATTATAATTTCATGTGATAAGAAAAATATGCTCATTGGTCTTTTAAAAATTTTTTAATATGAGTTAAAAAATTATCATGTTTTCTCAATTTATTTTTCAAAGGCAAAATCAAGAACATCTTTCATGAAGGCAGCCTGAGTTCCTCTGCTGTAATGGTGCTGGTGAATGCTGTGTACTTCAAAGGCAAGTGGGAGGCAGCCTTCGCCGAGAGTGAAACCCTAAATTGCCATTTCAAATCTCCCAAGGTATGGAAATCTATTTAATTTGGGAAGTTTTTTGTCAATAGCATTCCTTTGCAGAAACTGTGGTATTTATATAGATAAATGCTGGGTTCACCATTTCTTTACTCACTTTTAATACCGCATTACCAATACTATACCATCAATTGCTTATAAAACTAACTTTCTGTTGTCCTGCTAATGCAGGTTATAAAACACAATGAGAGGTAACCTATAAATTGATATTTTAAAAAATATATTCAAAATTGAGAAAAGTAATAAAGTATGAGTTTATTTTAAGATTTTCCAGTTTGGGGCCTATAAGAAAATGTGACAACAGCGTACCTCTTATTTTTCGTGATTCTAACGGTGGGGTATACAGTTAGTGTCATTCGATAGCAGTGATTTTTCCTGAGACAAAGCAGGAATGTGTTTCTTTTGACAAAGGAAAAATTATGTTTGATAGAACTGTGCATTTCCAAGTATTGGTTGTATCTGTTTCTTCCTTTAATTCTTTTTGATTTAAAACATCTTAATCCAGCTTCATAAAACATATATTCTTGTTGTTTTACCAATTTGTACATAATCGTCTTAGTACAGTAGAAACATCGAAGGCCCTGGAGTCAGAAATCCTGTGTCGGGGTCCTTGCCTTGCCTCGTAGAAGCTGTGCTGTCTTAGGCAAGTTCACTTAAGCACTGGAGACCTCCTTATCTTCACAAGCACAATAAAGAGATTCCTTTGATCCACCTCTAAAATCTCTTTCAGTCACTCAATCTTTAATGTTGAGGGACAGAAATTCAGATTTGACTTTTAAACTTTTACTTTTAAAGTGGAAAATACTATTGAAAGGTACTTTCTGCGTTTTCCCACATCAGAAGTTTTAAACACAGGAGTGCTGGGAGCTGATAGAAATCAAAGATCCCTGAATGAGTGATGAGAGGAGAAATAAAAGGCCATCTAGGCAGGCTGTATCTGCAGGTATGGTGATGCTTTGGGAGGAAGGCCAAGACACTTGAACAGGGATGAGGATGACCTTTAGGCTGGCTGAGGTGGCTTCGAGTGAAGCCAGCCCCAGCCCTGTGGTGAGTCTGTCACTGCAGGCTCCTAAGGAGAGCCTGACGGAGCAAGTTTATAAGGTAGGTGTCTCTGCGGGAACAAAGAGAGGGGCACAAAAATGTTCTGAAAACTGTATATGAAAAAATAACATTATGATAAATCCTAATAAAACACAGCTCTGTCTTATAGAGACATTTTCTGTATAATGGCAATAGGAAGCATATTAGGCAGTACTAGAATTTTGGTGACTGCGGCTGGCATTGTTAACTGAGTTTGGAAGTGAGTTTTCACTCCCCACTCTATCCTTCAACTCCTCCTCCAGCAGATTGCATCTGCTGATTCATTTCCATCAACGAAGATGAAGCATATCTATCTCTTGCACTGTTTGTGGGGTTTTTATTCCTCCTAAAGAAGTTTTTCCTTAAATAACTATTAATATATCATAGCTATTTAAAATAACTTTCCTGCCTGTATTATATTCCTTATAGTACAGATGTAATATATGGCTTATAATAGGCTTTGGAATCTATATCACTGTGGTCAGTTTTGGTTCCATCACTTTCAAGATTGGTGAAATTACCTCTTCGCTAAAAAGTCTAGTTTCAGTTTTTCTCCAGCATGCCCCAGCTGTGGGATTCTCCCCTTACTCTGGTGTGGTAATGAGATACTGTGGCTGTGACATGCCAGCCCTTATTTGTACCAGGCTCAATTCAGCTGATCTGTCTCACTAGGCAGGTGCCTTTTTTCCTTCACTGCTCCATGTGCGTTCTTTCTGAGGTTTGGCTTCTCAGTCAAAAAGGACAACCTTTACAGAGGGAGAAGGATATTTGGTTCAAACACAGATAATTACGTATCCATCCCACCCCCACAGAACTTTCTGTCCTAAAGGGAAACATGACAGGAAAGATGGCAAGTTTGCAGAATTACAATCCCTTTTAGGAAAAAGATGGTTTATGACACCTGTATGGTGTTTCCAAATCTACAAATGGTATCCTCAAGATAAGAGCTACCGCGGCCGGACCGGTGGTACAGCGGTTAGGTTCCCACATTCTGCTTCTCAGCGGCCCTGGGTTCACCTGTTTGGATCCCAGGTGTGGACATGGCACTGCTTGGCACACCATGTTGTGGTAGGGGTCCCACATATAAAGTAGAGGAAGATGGGCACGGATGTTAGCTCAGGGCCAGACTTCCTCAGCAAAAAGAAGAGGATGGGCAGTAGTTAGCTCAGGGCTAATCTTCCTCAAAAAGAAAAAAAAAAAAGAGCTACCACTGTGTTTCCCCCAAGTTAATTTGAGGCTTATCAAATATTCTGTAGTAATTTTTTTAGTTTTACAAGACCTCATTCTTAAATTGTGTAATTTTAATAGTACTAGTCTGTATTTTACTTCTCATGAGAGAAAAAATCTATGGCATTCATTTTTAGTTGCAACGCTATTTAATAATTATTCATTACTTACTATATAGACATTTTCAGATAAAACACTAAGTGCAAGGCAATGTTCCATATAATCCTTAGAAGAATCCCATGCAGTAGAGACTATTGTTACCCCCATTATATAGATGAGGAAATGGAGGCATAGAGAGGTGAAGTAACTTGCCCAAGGTCACACAGCTGGGGAGTTTTAAACTCAGGTAGTTAAACTTAAAGTCTGTACTTTTACCACTGAGATGTGCACCAATGCAACCACTATTCACAACATGTCAGGAAAAACCTACAGGATCAACTGCACAAAACTAAAGCACTTTTCTTATTCTACTTGGTCAATAGGTGAAATAAGGTGGGCTAATAAACAATTTTTGTGACTTCATTTTCAGTGTCCTGGAAAAACAGTCGCCATGATGCATCAAGAACGGAAGTTCAATTTGTCTGTCATTCAGGATCCATCCATGCAGGTTCTTGAACTCAGATATCATGGCGACATAAGCATGTACATAATGCTGCCCAAGAGTGACATATCCCAAGTAAGTTACTACTGTCACTCCCACGATCAGGGATGATTTTAAGATGCTGTTCATTGTGTTTTCATCCTTCAACTTTAAGATTTCAGGTTGTTGGAATATTAGAGACTTACCCACTTATTCGTTTATTTGAGAAATATTTAAGGAGTACCTACTACATGCCAGGCATCATTATAGATGTTGAAATTGACTTACTTCAGTTTAGCATCATTTTAGTTGAAAAGCTGTAAAATTGGAACCCTCTCAAATATCAACTATGGAGGGAAAAGGGCAGGAGTGTAGGTCTTCTTTTCCCTTGGCCATGAAAACAATCTTTCATGTATTATTGAAATTTGGGTAGATTAAGCATCTTCAAGCAGGAAAGGTATGATGGAGTTTTGAAGTCCAGTCCTTTGAGAATTAAAATGCGTGGCCTCATTCTGTGCTGCTGTGTCTCTAGGAAAAGCAGAAGGTAGGCACTGCCCTGTGACTGATGTAGCAGGAGAAACAGAGCAGCACAGTGCGAGGGGCGGGCAGAGGCGGCCATGCAAGTCAGACATCATCACCATATCCCAGATCCTGACATTCCTCCAGGCCTTCTTCCTCTCCTCCCCGTGAATTTGGCCACCTGAGTCTGCAGCCTGCAGTCCTGGAAGCCGAGATCTCATCTCCCTTCTCTGTACTTCCAATCAAAAGGAATATTTAGTGAGCACCTAATATGCCAGGCCTTATTCTCTGCACTTCAGTTATACTGTCTCATTTGATATGAACAGCAAGTGATCTGTCATAAGTTGGCATTCTACAGTCTGAAGTATGACAATATAAAATATTGGTACTCAGATTAAATCAATAATTCACTTGATAATCTTTATAACAATCAGATTTTAGCACACATCAGCTATTTTAACTCCAAATAATCCGCAATAAGAGAAAAAGTAGCCCAGATAGAATAAGCAGGAGATAAAAGATAGATTTGTTCTTGCTCTGAGTTTTTCTTCTTCTCTAATAGAGTGTCCTATTTGAGTATCAAATTAGCATAAGTCTACATACCTACATAATCCTACGCAACTAAATAATGATGAGGAAGTTGGCTCTGGAGTGGGCTAAATGAGAAAAAAATTCTGACTCAGCATAAAAAGTTATTACAGATTAACCACAAACTGGATGATTTACACACAGAAAATTTAAATTAGACTAAATTTGATTATATAAATGTAACTCCTTGATAAAAATGCAAGTCAGGTTTAATAGCTGTGAAGAGCTTTTTAGGATTCCAGTGAGCCCGAATTTGAGAACAAAAGTCCATATATAAGACTTATAAACAAGGTACATAAAAAATCTTCCCATTATAAGTCTGGAATAATTTATGATCAATTCTCAGTATTCAGGAGCTGGTGAACTCAAGATGTGAATCACTTGGGGGCAGCAATGGTGTTGGAGAAAGAGGTGTGGGCTCTGGCTGTGTAACCAAGGTTTCTAGCTGTGCAACTTGGGCACACTCCCCTACATTCTCTTGAGTTTCAGTTGTCCCATGTGTTGAGTAGGAGAGTCGACTTGGATCCAAGCCTCCCGCACAGTGTGGGTGACTGTGCTGGGAGATATTGATCACCCAAGACCTTGAGGTGAGAGCTCTGAGCTCCTTGCCTAGGGTCACCTGGGGTTCCATTGGTTTACTCCTGCACTCTGGTCAAGCATTATCATTTTCCATGTCTGTCGTGACGGGAAAATGGTCAGGAAACACTGATTTAAAGGACTTCTGATTTAAACACTGATTTAAAGGCTCCTTTCTCCCTGTGATGGTCTCTGACTCCCGAATTCCTTCATCTGTCCATTCTTCCTCTTTGGCCACATATGTTCACATGTGGGTAGAGAATAGAAGTGCCCTGAAATACAGATAAGCCACACCTTGTCATAGCAGAGCAAACCAAACGTGATTTATTAAAGAGCACTTGAGCTATTTGTTTTAACAATTTTCCATTTCCAGACACCTCCAGGACCCATTCATATTCTTACATGCAAGTATCCGGGAGAGGATAATTATGGAAAACCATCCTTGTTGTTGTTGTTTCAGCTGTTTCTTAACCAAGTGGATCTAAGTTGCCTTTTAAATATCTCTGCAGATTGAAAACAAACTGACCTTTCGGAATCTAATGGACTGGACCAATCCGAGAAAAATGAGCTCTCAGTATGTTGAGGTGTTCCTTCCTCAATTCAAGATAGAGAAGAATTATGAAACCAAACACTACTTAAAAGCCCTAGGGCTGAAAGATATCTTTGATGAGTCCAGAGCTGATCTCTCTGGTATCGCTGAAGGGGGTCGTCTGTATATATCAAAATTGATGCACAAGTCGTACATAGAGGTTACCGAGGAGGGCACAGAGGCGACTGCTGCCGCGGGAAACAACATCGTAGAAAAGCGACTCCCCGAGTCTGCAGTGTTCAGAGCCAATCACCCATTCCTATTTGTCATCAGGAAGGGGGACATCATCTTGTTTAGTGGCAAAGTCTCTTGTCCTTGAAAATCCAATTGGTTTCTATTACAATAGCTCCTGCAACATCAAGGAACTACCGCAAGTGAAAAGATTTGAGTTCAATTGGAAGCACATGGTGTTCCCTTTCATTTACTTCCTTCTAACATTGGTCGGCAGATGCTTTTGGTGACTTGACCCTTCTCAGACACCTGCTTGATGATCCTGATCTTGCTTTCAGCATTTCTGCCACCACCTGCCTTGCCTATTTCTAATTTCATTGTCTTTATTCCCACACTCATTTCTACCAGTCTCCCCCATGGCTGTTTGCACGCAGGTCTGGGCATAACATCTGGGAATTGTGGAGCGCTCCACCGGTAATGACAGGGGAGAAGCAGCCATGGGCATCTTTTCAGGAACTCTGTAGTTATCACAGATATTCTAAGAATTAGGGAAGTAAGCCCAGCTGCTAGGAATAAGTGTGAAGAATAACTTTTCCTTGCTGACCTAAGAAGACATTAGAGTGTACTTTAACACATCTGATTTGAAATCAGCATCTAATCTAGATGCTGAAAAACATGGATCAGGATTGGGGGTCAACCAAAATATTTTGTTAATAATTTCAAGTGGATATCTTTTGGCCTTTCCATGATAGAGACTTAATATGTACATAGTTTTTCGAATATTAAATACCCATTAACTGTTGCCAGTTATTTACAGCATATTATTTCAAATGCTGTGTAGTTTACAAGTTTTTTCTGTACTTATCAGAAAAAAGAAATACAGCAAATCTGTACAGTGTAAATCCTCTGATCAGTTGTGGGACTACCAGCACTTTCTTTATTTTCCAAGCCAAGGAAGCAAACAATAAAAAAAAGAATGCTTTTTAAATATAAATCTGATTTGGTTCAATGTTGTCAATTAATTAAACACAAATGTAACTTTTACAGAACCTACACAGGCTGATGAGGTCATTTTAAATACTGTGATTTAAATTAACACAGGGAAATGATTAGCATATATGAATATTTATAACAAGCCATAAGTAATTTAACAAAACAGATTAAAAACAGATTGAGAATCAATAGACCATGCTGAACTTACTTAGGATTTTATAAACAGTAGCTGCCTATTGAATTGTGTTTTCATCGCAAAAGACTTTTACCCGAATAGGGACGAGACAAATCAGGAGTAGCCAACAGCACAGCACTGTGGCACTTGGTCCTACGCCTGGCAGACACTTGATTTTTTAACAAATATTGTGGAATCCATAAATACGGTATGAATGAGTTAATGTGACATGATCTGAAAGGTGTAGAAAAGCTCCTGGCAAAAACAATGTGATCACTAAGCTGCCACATTGCAAACAACTATTATGTCTTTCAGAGATTTCATGGGAAGGTATACAGTGGCATGTTTTTTGGGAGAACCTGGTTTTTCTGATTAACCACATTCCCACCTATTGCCATTCAAAAATAACATATCCCCAGACTCTGTCCTTAGGTGATAAAGACACAGGCATGGGATATAGGAGAATGCATTCTGCTGGTGCCCGTGCAGTTGAAAGCATGGGCACTCCTCTGTTGAGAGGGTTCCCTGGGCAGCCATGGTGGGACTCAAAGCCACTGAGGTTTGAAGCAAGCATCAGAAAGAGTAAGAGTCAGGTTTGTAAGGAAATAGTACAGGAAAACTAAGACAAGATTGCCCTACAATTTCGGTTGGTTGGTCCTGCCCGTTTGCCCACTTTGTGGTTAAGGGCCTGGCTCGTGCAGAGAAGGGCTACATTGTCTGGTCATGATCTAGGCTTACATCGGTGGAACTTCCACAAGCTTGAAACACCTTCCGAAACTGCAGCAGTTGTAGCAGTATTGATGTTGTCTTTTGAACGTTGTCAATACACATCAGGTTCAACAATAACAAAAGTACCAGCTGTTCATATTCTCTCTTGACATTGAGCTTCATCCTTCTTGGGGCAAGATCTATGTCTGATTTGTTTTTGTATCCCCACATCCCCAGAACAATGCTAAACTTATGATAGGCACTCAGAATGTCTTTAGAATGAATATAGTCATTAGTCCCAAGGATGTGATTAGGGATGGAAATGAGACCTCAAGCACCACTTTAGTGTAAGATCAAGTCATTGATCTTATAACAGATTTCTTTTTACACAAAGATGACTTTTTATCTTTTAGGATTATGTTTCTTCAATCTGCTTATTTAACTATAGGTGTTTCCAAACACCTCCTACTCAAAACTCTCTCTATGTATGATCCTATCTGATCACACAGCTTTGATAATAGCTGATGACACCATTTATATGTTTGACTTCATCCAAATTCACAACTGCCTTCTGAATAAGTTCACCTGAATGTGCTAGAGTAAAACTAAACATGTCTCAGATGAAACACGTCACCATCCTCTGTGAGTCAGTTACACTTTCTTGGGTGCCCATTTTTCGTTAAGGACAAATATTGTCTAAAACTTCAAGCTCAAAACATCAATTGCATTCTTCTTCTTTCGTATTCTTCTTTTTCACTGTTCACTGGAACTGTTCATTGGTGTTACCACTAAAATATCTCTTGACTATCTCCTTCTTCATCCTTCCCATCGGCACTGCCCTAGTTTAGGTCTTTTACCTCTCTGGATTGCTCTGGTATCTGGTCTGCCTGCCTCTTGAGATTCTTACTGCCCTCTCACTCTTAAGCCCAAACTCATGAAGATATTCTATGTTTTCATCTACAAAAGCCAGTTAACTTCCTAAAACACAGATTGGATCAAGTCACACAGATCCTTATAAAACACTGATGGCTCTTTGGCACTTAAGGACAGAGTCTAAACCCCACCATGGCACCCAAAGCCTTTCACAGTTTTACCCTATTTCCCTTTCCACCTGGTTTTGCCACTCTCTGCCAAGAACTCTAAGCTCCAGCCACCTTGTACTAATGGAAAACCAGATCTACCATTTTCATGTTGTTCATTCCGTCCTCTCTGACTGGCAACCTCTCTCCATCTTTGTTTCACACCCATTTAATTGTTCCAGCACCTGATCACATTCATGTTCTCTGTGAAGATCTCCACACTGTGCATCCTTTTATGAGAGGTGTGCTCAAATTTCTTGCTATGTTCTATTTATGCGTGTGTGCGTGCGCATGTGGTGTGTGCATGGCTGGCTAGATTATAAACTCTTTAAGGGTAAGGTATGGAATATGGGGAGTATCCATTCCTCATTTTAAATGAATAAATTCCCTTATGGTCCTAAGAAAGGATCAAAATCAAACAGAGAGTGTAAGTGCAGACAGAAACTGTGGCCAGATAACAGGGGCCCTTGCCTGTACTTGTTCTCACCTCCATCAGCACCTCCTTGAGAACTTCCTGTGTTCTGTTAGTCACATACCAAAGCCTGGATAAAGGCACGATCTCCAGATGGAGGAGGAGTTTGGTGGATCTTCCTTCTCTGCAGGAGCAGGAAGAAGCTTTTTCTCACTCATTTTGCAATGAAGAAGAGGAGCAATATCATCATCTTCACCATCACCTTCTTCATCACCATCACTGCTCTATCATTTACAAAATGTTTTCACAGCCCTCATCTCAATTCTCCTTACAATCCTGTAATGATTATGATTATTATTGCCATTCTCATTTCATAAGGAAAGTAAAGTTCAGAGAGGTTAGGCAATTGTCCAAGATCATGTGTGTTCTTTCCATCACAACTGGCTGCCTTGGACTTCATCATGAATCTCACTTGTGCCTTGGTCATGGTCAGAGTCCTCCCCTCTCATGCTCCAACACCTTACATGGCTCACTCTTCGGCATACCCAGTGACTGACTCCAAGTGTCTCTCATGATCTCAGGCTTTCCTGGAACACTACACCTCTCACAAGTTTGGGAAAATGCATAATTACGTGACTACATGTTCTTACATTTGGGTTATTTACACTTTTAGGTGATTTCATCTGGCTAGGTGTTATTTCTCTTAATAATATACTTTCTGAAAGCTTATATAGTCATAATAATAATAATAATATAAATACTCTTAATAAGCTCTCCTAAGTACAACTCTCTGAGAGAAGGTATGGCCATCTTTTGCTCCCTTCTAATTTCTCTCCAGCACATTCTATTCTCCTTCACTGATTGACAGATTCTGCCCATCAACAGAGAAAGGCAGTATATATGTCTTTAATTACCCGGACATCCCTTGACATTAATATTTCATTTTTATCCCCATGGACAAACCTGGAATTTGTGAAGACTCATGACTAGAATAGCATTCATTAAACCTAATCCTCCCTGTAGACACCAGCAGCACCTTCAAGAGAAAACCACAACGAGCTTACCTAAAAAAGCAGGTAGCTGGCTGGCTGTCAGAACGTAATTGTGTTCTGAGACTGCCCTTTGATACCATCTCTTCTTTCTGTTTCTTGCCCATGGCATTGTGAACCGAAACAAGAACACCATTGGACTTAAACATGAGAAGCTTTAGTGAAACTAAAGTGACTAGTCTTTTATAAACATTGAGTTCTATTATTGGCTTATAATTCAAACAAGCAAAACAATACATATACCTCAATATACTCAGCGCGTTGGGAGGGAGAGAGGAAGGTGCAGAATGGAAAAGGAATTGTGAAGAGGACAGAAAATGGACAGAAATACTTTCTAGATGTCTTAAAAGCAACCCATTTTTAAATGTAAAATTTCTTTCCAAGTGTGCCTCTTCAGACAAGACTTGTCAATGCTGCTAAGAGTTTGATTCCTAGGCTGCTAGGAGTTATCACAATTTTCACAAGTCATAGCAGTGTGGTAACTTCTGTGAATGAGGGCAGAGGTGCTATGGAAGTAAGCAGTGGGGTTTCCAAACTAATACTAGAAAGATAGGAAGGCTTCCTGGAGGAAGGATGATTGGGCTAACACCTGGAGGAATGAGTAGAGTAAGGGGAAATGGGATGAGAGGGGAAGAGGGTTCCAATAGAGAGAATAGCCTATTTCAAGGCTCAGAGGAGGTGAGAAACAGTGGGACTGCTCTGAGAGTTACAAGTTTGGCTACAGGAAGTAGAGAGCAAAGGCCGTGAAAGGGGAGGAGCAAGGAGCTGGTTACAATGGCCTTATTTACCACAATGAGGAGTTTGCCTTTGTTCTAGCCTTGGCGTAAAGGCATGGAGAGCTCTAAGGAAGGGAGCGACACTTTCAAGTTTGCATTTTGAAGGATTGTGTTTGCTGATGTGTGGACACTGGGCTAGAGTGTTACAAGATTGTTAACAGGAAGAACTGGGCAGTGGTCCAGGTGGGAAGTGATGGTGGCCGGAACCAGCATGCAGGTCTTGGGGACAGACAGAAGTGGAGGAAATTGAGACATTTAGGAGGTGGCCTGACTGGTTAGGACTTTGTGATTGAATGAATATGGGGTGAAAGAGGAGGACTTCTCAAGATTCAGTTTAGCAATCTTTAAATGACAGTAACATCAGCAACCAGAGCAGAGAGGGTGGACACCAGAGAAGAGAGAAGAGCTGAACTTCAGGACACCCACGTAAGGCCACTGGAAGCCTTTATTGTAATGATCTGTTAATTTTTGAAGTAAATGCTCCCCTTGAGAATCAGACTAAAAGTATCGAAATGTGCACATATACAAGAATTCACGTACATATTTTTAAGAAGTTCAAAGATCGCTTGAGTCCTATCCATAGATCCACTAGGTTAAGAATCCTTGCTCTGTATACCTAAATTAGGCCATTCTAGGTGGAAGCTATCCATTGTGGCACGAAGAAAACCAAGTGCAGCACCACGGACCACTAGATGGGTGCAATTTCTATGGAATTAGGGCTCCAAGGTGACCACAAGCAATGATCTGTCCCTTTAAGCATCTAGGACAATAGGCAGGGAGACACACCCTTACTCCTAGCTATTAATCAGAGTCTTTATAGACAAGAGAATTTATAGGCAGGAGAAACCAGCAAATGTTCTTTTGTTAACAGAGTATTTTCAGGTAATAATAGCACAGAAGTCATTGAACACGCCCAGCCACCTTTGCAAATAACCCCCTGGTTCTGTGAATAGTCATGTAGTGAATTACATTTTAAGTATGTGTTCTTTGGGTGTCTGGGGGAACAGCATCCATACATGAATCAGTCTGTGAAGTTGGTAGAATTCTCCTCTCATCGTGAACCCCTCCTTTTCCCTCTTCCTCCTTGAATTCAAATCCTCCTCAGGACGTTATGAGAGAAGTGAAGTTCTCTCAATTGGTGGACAATCTGATTCAAGGTTGTTTCTCTGAGAATCTAGAGAAGACTTTGAGTCATTTAGAAGTTCATTTTTCTCCAGGCATGAAAAATACTGCCCCCTCTCCTTTGCTCAAGCCCTTGCACGAGTCCTCCACTCCTCAACGAGCAGTGCTGTGTCTCTGCAGCCCTTCTCGGTTCTGGACTCAGAGGGTGGATTGCTGCTGGCTGTGCTTCAGGGAGGCGAGTCAGCTCTCTGAACACACAAGGTTTTCTTGAGAATATAGTCTGTACGTCCAGGAGGCCTCTCGCTAACATGACAAGTAATTAGGTACTTCCTTTCTTCCTTTGCCCTTCTGAGAATCTGAGGAGCAAGCACTATCATGGGGACTTTTCACTGGCTTGTGGGCCATTTCCTTTCACATTCAGCATAAAGCCAAACACTGCCTAATTGTCAGAGAGGGTGGGAATTTGCCAATTCTGTTTTGGGAAGACCGTAATCCAAGTATGTATTCATGTGGGTCCAATAATTTTCTAAAACTCACTAGAAAATTTAATAAAGGAAACTATTGAACTCATTTTCTGTTGTAACTATATTTGGTGTCTGTTTTTATGTTACCTACACAAATCAGGGGTCATTTAATGGAAAAACAAAATATCTAAATCCTGCTTTTTCTTCTTTTCCTTTTCGTTCCCTTCAATCTTTTTCTTCCATTAATTAGGCTCTTCTTCCTCTGGATATGTTTGTAGTTTGAATACTGTTTTTAAAAGTAGAAGCTTTCTCTCTATGTATGTATGTATATGTGTGTGTAATTTGATAAAAAGAGCAAGTTTGGGTGCCTGGATTTGACTTTAATTACACCCAATTCGTCTTAGCTAATAATTTGTTGGGTGGATTCTTTATAAAAAAAGCAAAAATAGATGTCTTTATTTTTATAGAAAAATATTTTTAAGGTATAGTAGTTTAACCTGTATGGGTAAAATCAAAGCCACAAATTGTTAGAGAATTCAGATTAAGTGAATTAACTCAACCAGGATACCTAATAGCAATATACAAATAAAATCTTCTGTGCTTGGACACAAACACCCAGCATTATCCTTTATATAAGTTATTTCTGTGTACTACGCAATTTGAGAACACAAATCCTTCCTAGTCTGTGCACTGTGTTAAATGCATGCTCAGTTATAGGAAACTTACCTAGGGCTTAGTTTCCTCCTCTACAAAATGAGGCAATTGGGCTGGATTGGTATTTTCCAACTGCAGGGTGGGACTGATTAATGGGTTGTACAAATGATTTAGTAAATTGCCACCAGAGTTTAAAACATGAAAAAGGAGAGAATAGAAAAGGAAATATTCAAATGCATCATTAGTAGAGGGGGAAGTATTTTTGTGAAACTCATGTTTCAGTTTTGAATATATATTCTGGATCACAACATAAAAACTATTTCTTACATGGAGTTGCGAATCTCTGAAGAGATGCTTTCTAAGACCCCTTCATCTCTAACATATCTGAGACACCACATTTGTCTCTGTCTGAGTTGGAGCTACAGCTGATCCTGTAACTAGCTTTGTCTGGGAATCCTGCCTACATTTGCCATGAGGGATGTTTGAAATCCCTACTCAAAAGGGTTACCCATCCCTGGATGCCTCTATGCAAGAAAGAAGAGCATTTCGTTCATCATGTCTCATCTCAGGAGTCAGGGAAAGAAGCCTGTTAGCACTTCCCAAAACAAAATGCCTCCTCTCTGGCTTTTAAACACCAATAATTTGTTGTCGTAGCCAGAGGGTATGCGTAATATATACATATACATTACACTTAATTTTTAAGCATCTAATATATTTTGTTATTATAAAATAATCCTCAACTTATTACATAAAATCCACGGCATTAAATGTTTCATTATTTTTTTTTTTTCTAAATCTCTTGGGTCATGTTGACCCAGGGAAGCAGTGCACTTTACAATGCATACGTCAGCTGGCTCCCTTTCTACTCCTTTGCATAAATGCTTTAAATCACTTCACTATGCAAAGAAAAATGACTTGTGCAACCAAATTCTGGGAAGACAGGAGGAGCAAGCTGTGGTGCTGAGCGCTGCGTGTGTCTGTGTGTCTCAGACACGGCTCTCAGCTCACCAAGCAGAACTTTGACCGACTTGAAGACAAGGTAAAAGTGCAAACACTACATTTACCTTCTGTGACATGATTTTTGGAATTGGTGATGACTTTTCTCAGAAAGTGTAGGGGAAAATATTTAGTTGTAATTGAAGGAAAAGGACAGTGAGAGGTGCCATAGTTGGGGGACGGCGGTGGGGAGGCACAAATTGAAAACAAGGCAGTGTGGTTCTCTTTTCAGCTATTCGTACTCACTGATTGAGCTTTGTGACGTCACGGTTTCCAGTGTTGCAGAGAGCCATTCCTATCACCAATCATTATTCCTAGGTTAAGCTGGGGACTTGAATGATGACTGAACTGAGGCCGCGTGAGAAATTTGGTTTTTTAATGTGTATGTATCCCTAAGAGGAAATTGTGGTGTGTGGTAACAAAATTTAGATTCTCTTTTTTCTTGGTTATGTCTCTGTCTGGTAAATTAGAGGGAAAGATGCTGGACAGTGAGTCAGGAAACTTGAGTGTTCATTCTGAAATTGATGTTTTCTAGCTATGTGGACTTGAGTAAGTTAGGTAAGCTACCAGGCTCACATCAGCTTCCCCATTTGTAGAATTAATTTGGGGACCTGGCATTTTCCTTCTCAAAGTCACGACTTTTCTTTGACATTATTGAATAATTGTTCTGCTTAGAGGCTTTATATTCATTGTAACATTGAACACTCACAACAACTTTGTCAGGTATCTGCTATTATCCTTATTTTATAAATAGGTTCAGAGAAGTCAAATAAGTTACTCAGACGTATAGCAAAAGGCAAAGTACATGTTAGAGCTCAAGTTTGTCTGATTTAAAAGCTCTCTATTATAAAGGCCCATGATCAGCCATTTTAACTAATTGTCCCTTCACAGCACAAACATGTTTCTTGAATTCTGTGGATCCAACCAGAACTATCTGGAATAGCCAGAGGATGGTTTTTTGATTACAGGGTGGCCATGAGTTACCAGGGAGCAGGTTTCCCAAACAGTTGAATGAGGGGAATAAAACAATGGGTCAATTATCTGACAAACTTTGAGAATAGGTCCTGGTCTAGACATCTATATTTATTTTCCTGGGAACTTGAACCCCATCTGACCCCCATTTTTCTCCCTCCTCCTATTCTATTCCCAGTTATATGACAAGGAGGCAACAGAAATATACTGGTCTCTTAGCCAATTTTACTTCTGTGTTGATATAAAGAGAGTGGCAGCTTTTCAAGCAAGTGGTAACATTTCTGATCACTATGAAGTGTCAACCACTTAGCCAGCTAAGTTATTTAAACTTGCTCTTCTCTGTGTAAGAATTCTTAAGGCTGTTTTTTTGGAACCACACCCCTAGGCTGGGGAAAGTTGCTGCGAGGTGCCAAGATATTGGCAAGACATTATATAAGATAAATCCTTCAGAAAAAAGAATTATGACTTTTCTATTTACATTTCTACTCAAACTCAGCAACTACAAGCTTTCCTTTTCAGGTGCTCTTTTAGGAAATTTACCATATTGAGTCTCTTCTCTTTTTAAAACATGCAGGATCAACAGGGCATTTTCCTAAGACTTTTGCACTTTCCTAAGACTATTACACTCCATTTGCATCAACAACAGACAAGGGGAGAATTTCACTCCAGTTCCAATATCTTAATGGAAGCCCCTTAAAGTAGCTGTAGCACAATAGAAGTAACAGTATTGCCATGAAAAATACAGACTTGCAGCCTCCTGTTTCCAAAACCCAGGTATCCCAAGCAGGGCCAGGAATAGGATGAGGCAAACAAGGCTCTTAAGGGAGCAAAGTTTAAGGAGGCACTTATTCATAGGTGCTGGCCCTGTGCTTATACAACTCTGAGCACAAGTATCTCCTTAAATTCTGCAGTGGGTGGCTCATTCTTAAGGAGAGGCTCATTCCCATGGTCAGGATCACACAAGAATGGGTTGTCGTGTTAAAGTGAGTACTTCCTTATATTTTGCACCCTAGGATCTTCCCTCATCCTAGTCCCAGTACTAATCCCAAGAGGCCACAGACTCCATGGAGAGTCTTCAAGACAGCCCCCTAAAGAGAAGAGGGATGCAGAACATGGTTCTACAGCACATGGGGTCCCATTGCCTGATTCCCCCAAGCACTGGGTAGAAGGAGAAATGCTGAGGTTCCCCATTATCCTCTAACCTCACTCCTCTAGCTTTAGTGACTGAAGGAAGGAAGGCAGGAATGAAACACTGTCCTTCTTCCTGGAACGCCCTTCTTAAGTGACTTTAGGCTAGCTCCTTTGGAGAGGCTGAGATGTCCTAAACCCTGGTGTGTTTGTGAGCAGCCACGTGAAGGCACCACCCCAAGGTGAGCTCTGCTGGCCCCACAGACCCTAGAACAGGAGCTCTGTCTTTCTCAAAAAATGTTTGAGGACAGTTTCATAGAAGAAAGTGGCATAATAATTCTGTAGGACTCTAACATGCTTAGTTATATTTCTTCCTCTCTTAAAAATATATATGAACTAATACTCTCCATGACATATGTTGATGGCACTGCCAACCCACTGTCGGGGATGTGTACTTTGAAATATTTTCCAGTGGTGGACATGGGCTTTGGCCGGTGTGTCCTTACTCTCTCGCTCAGTGAGTCCCTTTTGTGTGGCACTTTTGAAAGCCTCATAGAGGCCATGTGTCTATTGGGATCAAAACTATAGCCTTGTCCTCTTTGTCATTACCCTAACCAAGTGAACTAACCTAAGCTACCAATAATGACAACAATACTGACAATAGTCACTGACGTATTTGACCACTTAACGATGTGCAAGCACAGTCTTGGGCACTTTACAAATATTACATAATTTAATCCTTATACTAATCCTGTAAGGAAGCTGTCATTTAGCCACTTTTGCAGAAGAGAAAAATAGAGACAAAGAAAACTTAAGTAACGGGCCTTGGGTCATAAAGCTAGAATGTGGCAGAGTTGGACATGCATTTGATTCCAAAATCTGTGTTCTTTCTGCTTCCACAAAGCCCCTCTTTAAACATTTAGGATTCACAAAATAGGAGTAATTCTTACCCTAATTTGAAATAAGCTGAAGTAGTGGTGTTCCAACTTACACCTTTGTCATTGTTGTTTGCCTTTGTATTCCAGACCCCAGGCAAAGCAATGGGCTCACTCAGTGCAGCAAATGCACAGTTCTGCTTTGACGTCTTTAAAGAGATGAGCTATGACCACACAGCTGAGAACCTCTTCTTTTCTCCCCTGAGTCTCCTGTCTGCCCTGGCTGTGGTGCTCTTTGGGGCCAGAGGTGACAGTGCATCTCAGATGGAACAGGTATGTCACAAACACACTTTCAGCCACGTCTAGAAGACAATCGAGTCACAATTTCCAACACTGTCTTGTTATGGAGATTTCATAGATGCCCAACTCTGTAAAACAAGAGAATGTCCTCCTTCTCTTAATGTTGTTACCTATAAAACTGGCTCTTTCAAAAAGGGTGCAGAAGGTCAGATTTCCCATAGCTCTGTTCTGAGGGGCAGAGGATGAGTGGGCACAGCAGAAGCCTGGACAGGGAGAGGCATTCAGTGAGATCAACCTGGCCCGGGCCAAACTGAGAGTCCCTACCTCTATTGCCACCCATGCATCCTTAGCTTTCCAGGGCCTTCCTGCTGTGGGTCCACATCCCAATGTCCTCTCCAAATTCAGGACCTTTTAACATACTCCCAGATGAGACCCACTCTTTAAGGGTTTTGTTTTCTCAAAATACAGCCCTTTGCTAGGTGAACTGAAAGTGATCTGTTTTAAGATACAGATGGATAACACAAGGCAGATAATAAGAATAAATGAAGTAGTCAGGATTATGCTAGATTGTGTCCAGCATATAGCAAACGCCCAGGGCTGCCAGCACCCAGCACTTAGGAAGCTTTCAAAAACTATTTTTGGCTGTTGACTCAATAATTGCTGCTTGAATAAATTAACAATTACAGATCACATAAAGAATATTTTGCAAGGCTTTACAATCTGTACAATTACCTTTCCAAAGAGATCACCAGCATTTTAACTCAACCAATAATTTTGGCTGACTGGAAAAAGTATTTCCTAGTAGGCATCTTTCAACGTGCTTTAATCATCTCTCCGTTTACGATAGAGGGAATGGTTAACCAGTGGAACAAAGCTGCTCCCCAGCCAAGATTTAAACTGGAAATGAATAGGAAAAGCAGGAGTCAAGCTCTGAATTTAATAATATATTTAAACTCAGGAAAAATTAAATGTAAGAGCTCTTGTGTTCAATTTTATTCCACTCCCATGCATTGGGAGAATAGGTCCCAAGTGTTTAACCCATAGTAGATACTCAATAAATGCTTGCTTGTGGAGAGGGAGAAAGAGATGAGAAGGAGAAAGCCATGGGAATCTTTACAAGTTGTCTTGGGTGAGTGTGGAGAGAGTCACTCCTCCATCTATCCCTTCCTTCAAAACGAGAGACAGCCTGCTGGCTGGAGCTCCATCCACACTTCTGCATGCTTCAGGTTTTGCAACCAGAGAGGTAGCATGGCTCCCTGTGCTGAGGGCATAAGTCATGCAGAGAGAGTCTGGAGTGGAAATAATTCTTTGTCTCTTCTGACAGCCAAGCAGCCTGAATCAGAAGAGAACTAAAAAATTCAAATTCTTTCCTTGACGCTTCCCATACACAATGGAGAAAAATCCTCATATTTTCATCTTCTTAATGATTTTCTCTTCCAACATCCAAAGACTGAGCCAAATGCTCAGAATTCCAGGTTCAACAACTGTGCTTTCTTTTGAGGGTAATGATGATGATGATGATGGTGATGATGATGACCACTGAAGCAACACCAGGGGGCGCCATTCATGCAGAGTCCCTGGATTGTGGAACAATATGTCCTATGATCCAGGAGACAAACAGACAATCTCAGAACTGAGAGAATTCATAAAATTCCCACTCTCTACTCTGTGCTTTAATCTCCGCTGGAACCCAGCAGGCAAGAGGTCGTTCAGTTTGTTCGAAGTCCTCTGAAAAGGTAGAATTTAATAGTATGAAGTAGCTTTTTAACAAACATTCAGACAGCTCTAACTTTTAGCAAGTTCTTCCTAGCCTTGAGCTAAAGTGGACCTCTCGATAACCATTGCTCCTTTATCATTTTCCTATTCTCAAAAGATACATACACAAAAATTACGTCCTCTTCCACGTATATTCTAAGAAGTTATATCTGCCCTGTGTCTACTGCTTTTTCACACAAAACATGTCAAATGTACTCACCCTATAAATATTTGAAAAGAGTTGCAATATTTTATTTCAGCTGTTCTCTGATGCAGGCCTTGGGAAACTGTGGTCAGACCTCAGGTAAGTCAATAGGACTATGGGAAACATATTAACTCTTAGCTGAGAAAATGATACACACTACTGGAATCTCCAGTGGATACTGTGAGCATCAAATCAGGGAACATTTGTGAAAATAACTTTAAAATAATTATTTATTATTTGAATTCAATCATTATCTATGTATGCTCAGTGAGTAACCAATGATATTAACCACCTGCAAATGATAGTAACACTCATTCAGTTATGCACACAGTCATTCATTCTTCATTCAACAAATATTTATGAGGTTCCTATTATGTTTCAAAACTGGAAATGTAGCGATGAACAAAATTAAGCGACAATACACATGAGCAAGACTGAATTGATTTTAAAACCTTAGGATTTTTTTAAACCTTCAGCTTGTATTCTACCACAAGGATTATAAAGGTAAACATGCATATACACAAGTAGGTGCCTACCCCTCATCCCTCACACTCTGATACTCACACTGCTGCCTAAAAGCACATGAAATGTTTCAGTTCTCAAACTCACCTTTCCTCTTTGAAACAATAAACTGTTTTTATAAGGAACAAAACTAAGAAACAGGTAAGAGAAAGGTGAAGGGAACAACAGAAAGTTCATAAAAATGTAAGCATCTAGCATTTATAGAGAGAGAATGGTTTGCTATGTCACTGTCTGGAGTAGCGTTGGCATCGTCTCTGAATATAGTTCTTGATTTCCCATTGTAGGTGCTTCACTTGAAGGAACTAACAAGAGCTGCAAATGCTTCAAACGCAAAGGTAGGTACAGTTTCCGCTTTCCTTTTGCTTCTCCTGTGGCAGCCCATCTTTAGGCCATGAGGACTAAAGGTTTAAGGCAATAAAACAGAGTATTTATTCCAGACGGCCCTTGAGTCTAGAACATAGATAGAGTCAAACTCCTGCAGATGCTGTTTTAAGATAATCGATCATGTTGAGATTTGGAAACAAGAGGTGACAAAATGGACACTGTCAAAAAGTTGAGGTAGAGACAATTAGTCTCTGAGAAGAAAGGCTATCCCTTCCTTAGAGCAATAAGTGCAGAAGGGAGACTATTCTCAAAGAGATTTCACAAAGGAACCCTGAAAGCTACCCAGATAGTAGGAGATTGCTTCAAACAGTCCTGGAGCACAGTGAGTGCTCAAAAATATAAATATATCATTTTTTGAAAATATAACCAAAGATGGCTATCTTGATAAGTTTTATTGTTGAATGCTCTTCTATATTGCTAATATCTAGAAAAAATATTCAATGTATGCTTTCACTCGTCTAAGGTGGTCTGTAGCTTTCTAGGTGTGACCTTCCCCCATTATCTGTGGAGGGGCTACTAAGACCAACTTTTATTGCCCGGAATTCTTATTTGTTACAAAATATAACAAACACATTTTTTCTTGATGCCAACTGGACTACAAGTGATATGCCAGTGCTGATTGTGTACTCTGGGCCATCTGGCGGAGGAGGCAGGACGGACTCTGGGCAGGCCAGGAAACATGCCATGTCACCCCTCACTCCTGTGAGGTGACTGAGATACGTTGCCATGCTGCCTGCTACCCACGTATGATCAGCTTGTCGGGTGACACAGTTTGGCGAAAGGCAAAAATTTCAATATGTCCAAATGATGGAATGAGAAGTCTTTGATTCTATTTGTTTTCTGAAATAGTGTGTCCTAATGCAAACCCAGAGCCTTTGGTCTAACCTTAGTTGATACTTAAGTGTGTGACACCAAGGCCCCCAATTTCAAGTATTTTCTGACTTCATCTTAGTGTGAACAAGATACAGGGATCCATTCACATATTCAAGCACTCCTCTCTGAAATCAGCCTGTCTAGCCACGGTCAAGTCCACATGGCAAGTGGCATATTTGCAGAAGCAGCCCATCCATTCCTCCCGGTGAGTTAAAATAAAACTTCTCTCTTCTCTAAGTCAGGTAGAAGTCTTTCCTCTCTCTCTTTATTTAATCTATTCTGGCATTGTTTGTGCTATCAAAACTACAGAAAAATAGAAAAAATATTACATATGTATTTACTTAGATATTACTACATGTAGAATATACATTTTACTATCGCATTTTGTTTCATATAGAAAAATATAGGTTTATGACTTTAACTTTCAAATGCTAATTTGTAACACGTTCAATTATGTTTCAGACCAGCCCAGTTGAAGCATAAAAAGCCTAAATTTTACATAGTTTATGATTAAAAACAACAACACTGACTTAATTTTGATATCGATAATAAAAGAGGAACTGATATCTTGGAACCCCAGGCTAAGGATGCTAACTATTCTAAGACTGATTATCCTAACTATGCGGTTATGGGTGAAGTACAACCTCAGAGGCTGAAAATGTCCTTGGCATTGAAATAACATCCTGTAGCAATTTGTTCATTTTGCTCAACTATCGACCTCAAACATGACAAAGATATTTATTTTTATTAATTGGGCCTAGTCCTGGATAATGGCATTTTATGTGTTCCTACCTCTATTTTCATATAATTCCTACCATATATGACCTAAATGTATTAAAATCATAATTTATTTGCTATGTCTCTTCTTTTTCTATGCTTACTTTACAGACATATTTAGACTGTATTGAACAATTACATAAACTGAAACCTGAAAATTTGGATTTCAAAAATAATTTAGAAGGAGCCAGAATGCAGATTAACTCATGGATTGAACAAGAGACAAAAGGTAAAAGGTTTCTTCTTTTTCTCCATCTTCTTCTTCTTTTAGAGATAATTTACATTCAGTGCGATGCTCAGATCTTCAAAAGTACGCTCGGACAGTTTTGACAAACGCACGTGGAGACACAGAACATTACTATCACACTGAAAATTTCCTCCAGGTCTGTTCCCCAGCAGCCACCTCTCTGATTCTCCCATCAGAGCTTGGTTTTGCCTGTTCTGAAATTCAAAGTCAATGGAATAATACAGTATGTGCTTTTTTGTGCCCTGCTTTTCTCACTCGGCATATTATTTTTGAGATCCACTCATGTTTTTGGATACCTCCGTGGTTCCTGCCTTTTCATTCTTGAGTAGTCTTCCACTCAACAATAAAAATGTTGTGACTCTACCACAGTTCACCCGTTCTTCTCTTGATGGACATCTATGTTGATTCTAGTTTGGGGCCATTATGAATAACATTACTATAAACTTTCTTGTAAAAGGGTTTTGTGTACATATTTTTTAATTTCTCTTTGATAAATACTTAAGAGAATTGCTAGGTTTTAAGCTAGGTGGAGGTTTACCTTTTTAATGAGCTGCCAAATAGTTTTCCAAAGTGGTTGAACCATTTCACATTCTCACCATCACTATGAAAATTCCCCTTACCGAAAATCCTCTCCAATTTTTGGTGTTATAAATATTTTTCATTTAATTGTTTTAGTAGGTGTATAGTAGTATGTTATTGTGGTCTTACCTTGCATTTTTCTGATGACTAATGACATTGAGCATCTTTTTTTGTATGTCTATTGGCTCTTAATATATTTTTATTTATGAAGTGTCTGTTCAAGTTATTTGCCCACATTTTAATAGGGTTGTTTTCTTTTTGTTATTGCATTGCAAGAATTCTTTGCATACTCTGGATATGAATATTTTGTCAGATACATATATTACTAATATTTTGTCCTAGTCTGTGTCTTGTGTATTTATTTTGTTAACTATAGTTTCGGTGAGCAGAAGTTTCTAATTTTAATGAAGTCCAATTTATCAATATTTTCATTTTGTGGTTTCTGCTTTCTGTGTACTCTCTAAGAAAGTTTTGCTGATGAGAAGGTCACTAAGATATTCTCTTCTGTTTTCTTTTAGTAGGTTTATTGTTTTAGGGTTTAGATTTAGGTTTATAATCTATCTCAACTTGACTTTTATGTGGGATGTGAAATAGGGCTGAAGGTTCTGTCTTTTCTTCATATGGATAATCAATTGTTCTAGTACCAGGAGTTGAAGATCTAAAGACTTTTTTCATTTTATGAAATGAAAACTCATGACATCTTCTTGTCAGTTTTACTTTTGAGAAGTGAGGAGGCATAAAATGCAGAAAATCTTTATTCTGCAATGTTCCCAGTTACCTCTCTTGCTTGATTTTAGTAGAAAATCATTGCCTGATAACAGTGGTGAGGTGCAAAACCACCGAGTCAGATGTTCATTGTTTTCCGCATAAGGTGGTGGCAGGAGAAATGTCATAGGAAAGTCAAACCTTAATGGTTAGTGTGCTGGTATCTACAAACTCTCTCTTAATCAGGTAACTTAATTGCTATATAATTTCATCAGGCTTTTTAACTTTTAAGAGTCTTTTCTTTATCTATTAAATAGTGGTAATAGTAAATACTTACATGATACTTAATCTATATCACACACTATTCGAGTATTTTTTAATATTTTTTGTGCGAGGAAGATTGGCCCTGAGCTAAAATGCATTGCCAATCTTCCTCTTTTTGTTTGAGGAAGATTGTTGCTGAGCTAACATCTGTGCCAATCTTCCTCTGTTATGTGGGATGCCACTACAGTGTGGCTTGACGAGCAGTGCTAGGTCCATGCCTGGAATCCAAACCTTCGAACACCAGGCCACTGAAATAGAGCGCATGAACTTAACCATTACACCACCGGGTTGACCCCTGTTCTGAGTATTTTACATCTATTATCTCATTTAATCCCCCCAAAAGATTATGAGTTAGGTACAACTGCTATCCTCACTTTACAGATAAAGTGACTGAGGCCTAGAAAGTTTAAATAACCCAATCAAAGTCACACACCAGTAAGTGGTAGATCCTGAACTCGAGCTCCAGGTTCCATACTCTCAATAGTAGGCGATCCTGCCTCATGTGGAAGATGCGGATGAAATCAGGTAACTTCTCACTCATGGAGATTTCATCATATCAACTGGCAGAGAGCTAGTTCATTTTTTTAAAATGGCTGCATAAAAATTTATGGTTTAGATGGATCATAATTTATTAAAATGTTTTTGGCAGTATTAATAACACTGAAATAAACATATTTATAGATGTATAGATTTTTAATCAACATCCTTATAGATAATTTGCACAACTGTTGTAAATACTTTGTTAGTCTTCTGTGCACTGCCTATTCATTAATTCTCTTCTTGTTAGTTTGTCAGAGCTCAGTGCATATTATAGATATTAACATTTGTCCTATGTCTAGCAAATATGTTTACAAGTCTGTTATTTTTAGATTAATTTTAAGTTCTTTTCTGCCACGTATATTTAAAATTTTCAGAGTCAAATCTGATTATTTTTTTCTTTGATAGCTTCTAGGGTCCAGAATTGTTGAAGAAAACCCCTCCCCACTCAAAGATTGTAGACGTAAATATACATGGGAGAAAACGTGATATTTTCTCAGAAGATTTTCGTTGTCTTTTCATCTACATTTTTGCTCCCTCTGGAATCCAAATTATTATTAGTGCAAGAATTTTACCAAAGGTAGAGAAACAAAGACATAATAGAGTAAGGGAAATAAAGTCCATCAACAATTTTGTATGTAGCCGTAAAGTAGGCAGACATAGGCTACACACTCACATTGTTTTCTTTTCCATCTTACATGCTTCATTTACTAAAGAATTATGAATGCTTTACATATTTACTCAAACATCTTTTTGGCTCATCTGAAGATATTGAGTGGTAATTAGTCATGCCAGGTCAAAGATGCGTTAAAAACAAAAGCAAGACCAGTGAAAACCATTCCCGTTCCATGGCTGATCCAGTGCGATCTGACGATGTTTCTCTTCCCAAAGGTGAGATCAAGGACCTCTTGTCACCCAACAGCCTCGCCTCCTCTGACCAGTTGGTGCTGGTTAATGCCATCTCCTTCAGAGGGACCTGGAAGTATGCATTTCAGAAAGACCAAACGACAGCAATGGCTTTCAAATTGGATGAGGTAGTTTCATGACTTAATTTGTTTTCCTCTTAAAGGTAATCCTCCAAAGTTTGCCTTAAAGTGCATTAAATTATTTCTGGCCTTAAGTAGGTAAATTAAGTTCCAAGTGACTATCCTAACTACGTACTCCACAAAGTGCAGATTTAGATTCATGAGACAGTTTTTTGTTACTGAACTTTTCTCTTAAATTCTCCATAGCACTTTTACCTTATATTGAAATTAGAAATGCTATGTTGTAAAATTAAAAACCAGTCTGAAATATAGACCTTGAAAAGGTTTAAAGTGGCTTTGGGATTTGGGCTAAGTTTAACCCATTTTTAGATAATTCACTTCCTGCAAACCGGACATGAAGCCAAGTGATGAACCGACAGGCAGGTCATTTGTAAAACGGGTGTGATCTTGAGAAGTAAAGCAAAACTGGTGGACGAGATCCACTTTCCAAAGAAAAGCTTCCAGGTATGCTGTCCTACCCCCACCCTCAGTCTTCCCAACTTCTTTTCTTAGTGCCCCAAAAGTGTGCTACACATCAGGCTGCAACCAAAATAAGATATGTTATTCAATAAAGAAGAATGGATCTGTATATTATAACTAAGTCCCTAAGCTCTCAAATGTATTTACTCTATCAAATGCATCTACCAAGAAATGCTGGACATTACTGGTCAATTTAAAATCTGTTATAGTCAACTATAAAAATAAAGAGGGTTTATACTTTTGAATAAATATTTTCCATGTAAAAGAAATAGTGAGTGACTTTAAGGAAAAAAAAAAATCGTTTAGCCAAACACATTAGTCACATCTGGAAATAACTTTCCAAAGAATTTTGCCATCAGATATTGAGGTCATAAAGCAAATAATGGAATTACATATTTTTTTTACAGTTGTGTTTTTAAAAACGGAGATTCCAGGGCCACATTTGCGAACATTCTGATTTGCAAGAAGTGCCTGAATATATGTATTTTTAAACAGCCCCTGTAGGTCCTTCTAAGGATCAGCCCAGATAGGGGATCACAGTGTAAGGAAAATGGAGCGAAGATTTTAGCAGAATTCATAGAAAGATACTTAAAGGGGTAAACATACCCACAAATAAGCAGATGTGTGAGAAGACACAGTTAATAAAACAGAATCTTTAATTCCACAGTAAAATCTGGTCAGTTGGTCTACATACACAATGCAGGTATCTTTAACCTGTTAACTAGCAATTCAAAGAGAAAAACGTAATATGTGGTTATGGTCACAACTAGATTTCCTTCAAGTGACCTGATTATGTGGAACCCAGCATTTTGTTACATTCTTAGCTAATTTGTAACAGTTGTAATCTGCAACTCAGTGCTGCAGATTCTTCCAGATTGGTCAGATTTTACTTGAGGTGGAGAGATTTCTAAATTATGGTCTTGAAAGGACCTATTTGACTTTTAAAAGTGGTTATCCTGATAAGATCTTATGCTCTATATTTCTTAGCACATTGAAGTGAATTAACTGCTTCTGGGCATCAAAACATACAGTTGAATAAAAATAATACATTGAGAGACTTAAGCCCTTTGTAGCTCAGTAGCTACTTTGTTTAGGCTACTCCCTCTCTTTAAATCATCATCACAACAATTGTCAGTCATAGATATTTCTGTAGAAAGATGGATGGAAGTTTTTTTTTGTTTTTTTTTTTTTTTGTCATTCAATGTGGGCAAATTTGGAGGATGAATATAAACATAATTTCATGTCTTACATGGAAACATAAAAAGGGACTGACTTTGCTGTTTCTCTGTTTTTACTTTTACAGTCCCAGAGCAAACCAGTCCAGATGATGCGGCTGCAAGGGTGCTTTAAACTGGGCTCCGTAAAGGAGCCTCGGGTCCAGGTCCTTGAAATGCCGGACGCCGAGGATCATCTGAGTATGGTCATCGTCCTACCCAGCGAAGACGTCGGCCTGGGGCAGGTAAACCTCCGAGCCTGGGCAGCCACAGCCATGAGAAAAGGCTCTGTGCTTGAGGATCACCCATGCAGAAAGCCGGAGGATTTAAAATAACCCCTTACACTGCTCTTTAATGCAGTGTTACCTCCACTTAAAAAAATAAGTAGGGCCAACCCCCAAATAAAGTATACTCCATGCACTAGCAGGTGTTCTTGCACTTGTAAGAGTTTTGGGCTTTCAAAGCACGTCATGCATTTCCTCTTTCACTCTTCACAGTGCGTTGTTGTAGTTGTACATGTATTTTTCATATATTATACATTGACACCGCATTTGGACCTGCCACCAACCGATGAAATCTATTTCCACCAACACCCAAGGCCAAAACGTGCAAACTCAATGTGCAGGCTTCTCCCTTTGCTTCTTTCTCTGGTCCTTTCCTCTGAGCCCCATGAGGACGCTCCTGTTCCACATTGTGGTTCTGTGTTCTGCTCTCAGCATCGGTGTGGACCTATCCTCAGGGCTTTCTTTGAATCCCTGTCTCTCCTCCTTTTCTTCTGCTTGTTCTGCTTCTCTCAAGTTCTGCGTTGCTCCCATCTATTTCTTTCTGGCTACAGACTTCTCACCCTCCCCTTCACCCTTTTTTCCAAATAACTCTTGAATTGTGTGCCAAGTTGTAGATTCCAGTGTTAGATATGTTTCCAGTGCAATTCTTACATGTGGCTGCATTTTTGCCACTTACTCTGATAGAATCTGCTTTCCAAAATCACAGTAAGAATTTGCCTTACCTATTCATAACCTCACATCTGGTCCTCAGGATGTTTCACATTTTGCTATATTTTAATTTTCTAAATAAAGATTTTCATATTTTGCTTCCTGCTATGTTTCCCATAGGTTACCAAGGGAATCACTTATGAGAAACTGAAAAGCTGGATAGGCTCGGCCAACATGAAGGACACAGCTGTGGTTCTGCACCTGCCCCAGCTCAGACTTGATGAGCGTCATGAAGATCTGACTTTCATATTGGAGGCTTTGGGAATGACTGATGTCTTGGACCACTCAAGGGCTAACCTGTCTGGCGTAACTGCAGGAGGTGGGCTTGTGGTCTCCAAGATAATCCATAAGGCCATGCTAGAGGTTACAGAGGGTGGCCCAGAGTCCACACTTACCAACCAAACAGGAGAGGTGGAAAATCCTGAAACCTTCAAGGTGGATCATCCTTTCCTCTTCTTTATCCTACACAAAGAGACTAAGACGATTCTTTTCTATGGTAGGGTCTGCATCCCTTAAGGAATGGCATGAATTTGTACTCAAACAACTTTCTGATTCTTCAAAGTAGCCAGATTTTATGAGCTTGTAGAATTCATTCAGTTTAGGTGCAACTGAAAGAGATAAACCATGCTTCTTAGCAATGTTTTTTTTCCAACTATCTCATGTAGAATATCCGTCCATCCTTTCTTGCTTCAGTTTAGGCTGGTTAAACAAGTTACAGCATGCCATTAACTGTACTTACTAAAAAATTGTGATCAGCACCATTTTTTTCTTAGGTAGATTTCAACTTGCTCAGAACCTCATTTATAGCTAAAACTCAGAATGTCTTTTTCCAAACAAACAACATTATTCAGTATGATTAGCTTACCAAGTTAGTTCTTAAGCACTTAATTACCTCACTTGCAACTGAACTAATGATGTTAATAAGAGGAGCTAACCTTCACTGGGCATGTGGCATGTGCCTGGCACTCACCGGATGACCTGCTTCAATTCTCACCAAAACCCCGAGAGGCAGGAATGATTGTTTTCTCCATTTTAAAGACGGGAAACTGAGACAGGTTTAATAACTGAACACACAAGTGGCAAGTAACAGACTAGATTTCCAAACCCAGAAGGTTTGATACAAGACCCCTACTCTTGACCACGATCAACCCTGTCCTCGTCATAAGTCTGCATCCTGAGACTCAGAGCCAGGGCCGCCACGGTAGAAAAGGAAGCAGAAAGAAAAAGAAGGGAGTTGCTTTCCTCCTATGGGAATGGGCTCAGTTTAGAAGTAACATTTATAGAACATTTTCAAGTTTTCAAAGAAGTTCCATACTTGAAATTATTTAATAGGCAAATGTGTTTTATTTTATGCTTATTCTTTTTTCCATGTCCCTCTCCACTTCTTCTTTTTTTTTCTTTTTTGGTGAGGAAGATTGGCCCTGAGCTAACTGTGCCCATCTTCCTCTATTTTGTATGTGGGATGCTGCCACAGCATCACTTGATGAGCAGTAAGTAGGTCCATGCCCAGGATCCCACCCCGCCAACTCCAGGCCGCTGAAGCAGAACACAGGAACTTAACCACTATGCCACCTGCCGACCCCTCTCTCTACTTCTTAAATTCCAACTTTCTCATCAGCAAGTCCTTCTTTCTGCTGGCCTCCAGGTGCTCATTGTCTCAAGTTGCTCTCCAGGGGATTCCACTGAGAACAGAAGGGGAAGAGCCCTGGATTTGGTGTCAGGAGATCTAAGTTGGAATCTTGACTTTGTGCACTTACTAACTGACAAACTTGAGGGAGGCATTCACCTCTGAGAGTTCAGTCTCCTCCTCTGCAAAATGGACATGTCAATCCTGCCTCCTGCTCAAGGCTGCCGGGAGATTCAAAGGTTAACAAAAAGGAAAATGCGGGGCTGCCCAGTGACGTGGAGGTTAAGTGCGCACGTTCCACTTAGGCGGCCTGCGGTTCACCGGTTTGGATCCCGGGTGAGGACATGGCATGGCTTGCCAAAAGCCAGGCTGTGGTAGGCGTCCTGCATATAAAGCAGAGGAAGATGGGCATGGATGTTAGCTCAGGGCCAGTCTTCCTCAGCAAAAAGAGGAGGATTGGCAGTAGTTAGCTCAGGGCTAATCTTCCTCGGAAACAAAAAAAAAGAAAATGCTCGATCAGTTAGCTTTCTGATTACATGCTGCCGAGATGTGCAGCTGTCTAGGGGCCCTGCACGAGGGGCCCCAGGAATCCCCTTCGGGTCACCCCTTCTTTTGTGGTGTCTCTTTTTTCTTCTCTGCTTTCTACGTGTCTTTATAAGAAGCGTTTTACTCCTTTACGTTGTCTGCAGGCCTGATTATCTAATACCAATTACTTACTTACCCTTGAGGTTTAATTTTACAGTCATTCTGGATTTCTAGTTTTATCTGGTGGGAATTATTCATAGAAATAGTTTTGAGTATTTTTCCCAGATGTTTAAAATTTAAGTTATATCTCTACTTTTAAGTGAGTTGAGGGCACATTCCAGCTCACAACTAGTTCAATCCCTTCACTCGTGTCAAAAATTTGTCTTAATTTTTACCACTCAACTTTAAGTTTACTGATATAATGCCTAATATGGATCTCTTCCCTTAACTCACTTGATTCATAACTTTTAGCAGGTGAATAAGTCCACTGATGCTTGTTCATTGTAATGAGATTCTTTCTCAATCTCCACTACCTCACAATTTAGATTTTAATAGCTTTAGGTTGGATAGAGCAAGTATATTTTGACTGAACTGAACAAAAATTCTGTAATGTATAACTACTGAGGGAATACTGGTAATATTATACTATTAAACATTTGCTAGTTGCCTAAAGTATTTTGCATTGAGTAATTTTGCACGCCCTATATTCTACAAAGGACTTGGTACACCCTAATAACACCTTTCCAGAATTTGTTGTAAACACCTTCCATTGTCTAAGCAGACACCTGAGTCACCATAGTTTCCAAATGAAGTACAGCCAGAAGCAGCCAAAGAGGTACAAGAAGACAATGCTGGTGAAGCCACGAAAGTAAGAAAAAGGTGGAAGGCAAGGACAAAGTATACAATATGTTGAAACATTTCAGCTTTTGGTTTTTTTCATTTTAGTGCTGGAGGTTTTTCTTCTTTTTAAACTTTTACATTCATGTCCCTGGTCAGTTATACAGGAGAAAAAAGAAAGAAAAGAGAAATGTAATTGGGGGAAGTTGGACTTACATGGTTTTGTGAACTATTTTCTCTCAAAATAAAATTCTGAGAGTCTAATCGTTAGTTAAACAGAACGCATAGAGGTGGAGTACTAAACCATCTTGTCTCCGATGTAAACAAAACAAGCAAGTACCCCTTCCTAAGGTTTGTCATTGCCAGGAACATGTTTCTGGAGGGTGTGGCACCAGCTCTGCTGAAGAGAGCCCTGTTGGTCTTGGAACGCCAGCCCCGCTCTTCCCAACAAGTAGAATCATGAAGCCGAATTGGCCATCATTTTTTACGTGGTGCCTGTGGTTCCACTCATGAAAAAAATGTTGCTGTTAAAAAGAAGAATTAAATGACTTAAATGCATGGATTTGTCCCTGAACGAACCCATTGATTATACTTTCTGAATTCTACTTTGGGTTATGTCATCAGTTACTTGATCAGGGGCCCTGTTCCATTAATATTTTTTTCTTTTCTTTTTTTTTTAATCTTTTTTTTTCTTCTTGCTTTATCTCCCCAACCCGCCCCCCCCCCACCCCCGTACACAGTTGTATATCTCAGTTGCATGTCCTTCCAATTGTGGGATGTGGGATGCCACCTCAACGTGGCCTGATAAGCAGTGCCGTGTCCACGCCCAGGATCCAAACCCTGGGGCCGCCGCAGCGGAGTGCGCTAACTTAACCACTGGGCCATGGAGCCGGCCCCTATTTTTTTCTTTTCTAAAACTCAAACCATTTTGACTTTTTCTAGACTTGAATTTCAATGTTGATTAGATAATGTGGGTTTATAAATTTCATCTTTACTCTGCAGTCATTATTTTATTCCTCAAATTTTTCTGCCTTCTCCTTCCAAATGGCAGCACTTCACCCCTCAAAGCTACAAACATTTCCATAACCTCCCCCTCATACCATTCTGCCATTTTCCACTCTCCCATTTTCATTCTCTTAGCCATGTTTCTTTCTCCTTCTCCTTTGGGGAAAGATAAATTTTTCTGGGTCTACTAGAATATTACCAATCCCTTATAGACTTACCCCCCAGCCAAAACTGAATTATTAATGATATTAAATGATGTAAAACCTTATGTGAGAATAAGACATTTTTTCTTTCCACTATAATGTATTAGAGCTTAACTTTAATCATAAAATCATTACTGAATATATAAGTGGTTTGACATTTTGACTAACGTATTTTGTTTTAAATAACATAGGATTCATTTGATAAAAGGAAACAATGAAATCAAAATTAGATTGCAATTTCATTTTCTGAAAACAGGTATAGACAGATAAGAATGCTGCATATAGGACGTGCCAAAATCACATAGACTAACCACCACCCATGAGTGTGCTACATTTCTTAACATCCACAGACTGAAATTATAAATAGAATTCTTTAATTCCACCTACCTAATGAGGACAAGTCAAAATAAAATAGAAGAAAAATAGCTCCCCAGAGAGTGTGAGAGAAAGAGACTATCTGTGTAAAAGGGAAATTAATACACCCAAAACTCAACCATTAAAAAAAAAGAAAGAAAACTTGGAAATCTAAATATAATTTAGAATTACCCCTAACAAACCCTGATTTTTCAAGATAAATTCTTTTTTTCTTAAACTAAGAGTGGTTTCTGGTAGATAGTATAGATTAAAGAAAAAAGGCCTTTACTCCTAATAAAGAAAATGTGTTTCAAAGAGTCTAGAATGTGTGTGGAATTATACACAAGCAGGCAAAAGTGACCATGGAGTTGTACAATAGCATGAATAATAGGTTCAGAGAAATTCCTTATTTCGTACTTGATAAAAATATTTCATTTCTATTCATCAGAACTCACATCTTTACATGTCTCACCTTGTATATAGTTTACTCACTCTCTTATTGTATAACTATACTTGCATCTATACATGAATCAATGAGAGTATTAACGAAGTTAGTCAATCAGTCGGTCAGCCAGCACGTGTTGTTGGAGCATCCACAGGGAACGTGGCACCACCCAAAGATTTCTCCACCTTCAGCACAGCAACACGGAGACTCCATTGCAACAGGAAACTGCAGTTGCCTCGCACAGCTGTCATTCCAGGGTGGAAGGCCTGAGGGCTGTTCTACGTACAACTCTGTTCGAGCAGATACATGCTGAATCGTTGTGTCTCTGTTTTAAGAAAAATTTGGCATATGATGAAAGATAAAAGTTGAAATACATCTTATGATTTAATCTCCTTGATCTTTACACTAAAAAATTGAGAACAAGGAATGAGGCGGGGAAATCTGCCAAAATAATGAATAAATCATTAAGTCGAACACTCAAAATAAGCTTCACCTGGCACGTCTTAGACCAAGACAGCTCGATGGCCAAAGGATCGGAGTAAACACTTGTAATTAATTTTATGAGAGTAATTCTATGTATTTCTATATGGAGAATAATATTGTCTGAGACATAAAATTTAAATGTTTTCTAAAGTACTCTCAGGAAGCAAGTATTCTACTTAGGAATTAGTTTCTAAAACAGAGAACCATAAAAGCTATGGACTGTAACTTATGGAATCTCACATTGCCCAATTGAAACAGAATTTTCTAGAAAAGAACCATCTCTCCACCCCTGTGACTTTTCTACTGAATTTTAACAACCCGTGCCACACACTCTAGCACCGTACTGAGGAGCAATTTTAATAGAGGCAATAAAACTGTAAGAGTAAGCAAAGACAATAATAATGAGTAAAACAACAATAAGAGGAAGGGTACTAATTTACTCCCACTTTTAATTAATAATTTTGTCTGGGTCATGATTTGCTTAGGTCAAAGACAGCACCGGTGTTTCTAAACTTGAGTAGGGCTTTTGATCTATGAAAAAACATTGAAGAAATCATAAGGTTGAAAGGAGGCAAATGCCTTGAATGTATGCCGCTCCACAGAGGAGTTGAAATCAGCTTCCTGCCATGACCTCACATCTTCCTTTTCATGACCTGTGGTGTACTCTCTCCCTCTCTCACCATTCTAAAGAAGCAACCCAGGCATACAAGTTTGATTTCCAAACAGACCAGAGAACTTTAAGTTATAATGTTCTTTTCTCCATTATAACTCTGTGAGTTACTAAAGTACTAGTTAGTAAAGTGAGGAAAGATGTTTGAAACCATATTAATATCTCCTTTAGCATACTGATTTTAGAGATATTTGAGAGTTTATTTTTTGCATAGCTCTTTTTTGCATCAAGTTTTAGTAGAATCTGTAAATAAGAATCCATATACTCAGTCTTGTTATATTACTATATAGTGTTATAATTTGTTACGAAAATTATTATTCAAGGGGCCGCCCCATGGCTGAGTGGTTAAGTTCACCTGCTCTGCTTCACCGGCCCAGGGTTTCGCCGGTTCGAATCCTGGACGTGGACATGGCACCACTCATCAGGCCATGCTGAGGCAGCGTCCCACATGCTACAATTAGAAGGACCCACAACTAAAAATACACACCTGTGTACTGGGAAGCTTTGGGGGGAAAAAAAGGAAAAATAAAATATTTTTAAAAAATTATTTAATATGTATATAATGTGGATTGTATTTTATTATTATTGTCATATATTTTGCCAAGCTATTTAGGAATTAGGTGGGACTACTCAGGTATATAAACAAGAATAAGCAATGGGGAAAACCCAGTAAAAATATTTTTCTCAAAGCCTTTTTCCATCAAGGCTATGCTTAAGGCAGTTTATTCCCTTGTAATCCTGATGAGCAGTTCCACTGCAGCTGTGGCCACATCCTTTCTCAAGGTAAAAATTCATTTAAGTTCCAGTTTGTATGCTATTCTTGGAAAATATAGGGAGTGGGATGGGAGAGAGGATTTTCAAGTACATAATTTAATCAGGCCCTAAATATTGTCCTATTTTTAATCACACCTTTCAAATATCTGTCATGAAGGGGGCACAGCCACCCATTCACACACTCTAGAATCAGACAAGATTAGGGAATATTAAGAAAAATGAATGACAACACTGAACAAAGAGTGGATGTCACTGTAGTAAAGTATTGTCACAGCCTCTCAGTAAGAATGAGAGAAAAGTGCTTCTGGGTAAGTACCTTGTCAGGAATCGGGCCCCGCATCCCACACGCATACGGAATTGGGAGGGTTTGAAAGGCATCTTGCGCCAGAACGTGCACATACTTTCATTTTCATGTGTAAAAATAAAACGAAAATTCTTCATACTGTTAAATTACTGTCTCTCTGTTCATCACAGCAATTCCATTGAATAAAAAAACTATGAGTTTTCTCTATTTCATACTGGAAAATGCAAGATACAGAAATGTAGCAAGTTGTATGTGTGTGTGCATTGTGTTTGTGTTTGTAGGGCCTGGGCCTTGCTTGCTCAGCAAAAGCCCCCAAGCCCACTGCAACCATGTGTCCTCCTTGCTCCCTTCTGGGCAGGACATCCGGTTGCTGGGATGTGTAAGAATCCAGGGCCTGGCCAGCCTGAATCCTACCTTACCTCACTTCAAGAACATCACGTCTTAAAGGGACACAGAGCCCCTCCATGTGAGTTACTGTTCCTGGGAACGCTGGTCATTCCAAGGACAGGCCCTTGGCAAGTATATAGCCTTTGTGTCCCCTGCCTATGTAAGAAACACCCTCGCCACCCGCATTTGCAGGTGCATGCTGCTGTCCAGCCGGCTGCCACTGGACCTCCCTATGAGTAACTCCCAGTAAACCCGTATGTCTTGTTCGCCGACTCCGGGTCTTTGGTCTCTCCGCAACCTATCCCGCACTGCTCACGCAGCTGGGCATGTGGTGGAACAGTGTTTTATGGTCTTAGGCTAAAGAATGAACAGGCAGAGCCCTTGGACCCCCAAAATGCCCTCCTGGAGGAATTCTACAGTGAACTTGAGCCTGAGGATTCTTCAGAGTTACCAATCATTAGAAAACACCCATCTGTGGGATGGTGGATGGAAATACATCAAGTGAATACAGGATAAAATTCAAAATTTTTATTGTTTAGTGGTAGCAAAAAAACACAATGATTTAATTTTAATGAATGGCAATATGTTTTGTTCCAAGAGTTTCCATGAATTAAATATTGAATGCCACACACTCATGAAGCAGAGTGCTCAAACTGACGAACACACACTGAGCATAATTACGTGCAGCCTTACATTAGTGGGATGTCTGCTATCTTAGTGGACTTCTTACAATCATGGACTCCTTTTAGAATCTGCTGAAAACTATCAACCTTTCACCATAAAACATGAGGACATGCACATTCACACAAAACGTTTTACACAATTTCCCTGACCTCTTTAAATTGTCCACGCATCCCAAGCTAAGAAGTCCTCATACGTATATGGATATACATTTGCATTACAGGTTCTCAAGCCCATCTAGGTGGCAGAGCACCTGAACATTACGATAATCTTTGTGAAACATCACCTATTTTTATTCCATCATACAATCTAGAAAAAATTTAATATACATGGATATATGTATGTCTATATATTCCTATATATATTATATGCATTATATATACACATATATGTACGTATATGACTACTTTATATATATACTAAAAATTTCATATCATGTCCATTACTAAACAGCAGTGAAGTTAAATCCAATTGACTACTTCAAGTTCTTCTATTAATATTTTGCTACTTGTTTATGAAGTGGTATATTATATGTTAAAAAAATATATATTTCTGGGGCTGGCCTGGTGGCATAGTGGTTAAGTTCATGTACTCCACTTTGGTGGCCTAGGATTCGCTGGTTCAGATTCTGAGCATGGACCTACACACTGCTCATCAAACCATGCTGTGGCAGGGTCCCAGGTACAAAATAGGGGAAGACTGGCACAGATGTTAGTTCAGCAATAATCTTCCTGAAACAAAAAGAGGAGGATTAGCAACAGATGTTAGCTCAGGACCAATCTTCCTCAGGAAAAAAAAAAAAATATATGTTTCTGCAGAAAAAAGCTTAACATTAATAGAGCTTTATTCATGCATTTAGAAAGGTTTGTTTGCTGTTTTGTTTTCTGAGAATTTTTAAAAGCCTGCCTGTTTTTCTGCCCCAGTTTGCAGTTGTAGTTTCTGTGAAGGCCCGACTGAGGAGCAGTTAACAAACACAGACTGTAGTGATTTCTGGGAGTGGGGTGGGATGGGGGCAGGGGGAGAAATGCAGATTTAAATATTGAATAAAAGTATATGAAATTTTATTTTCAGTTCTTCATCTTTTGGAGTCTATCCCCGAATTCCAGCAGTTTCACCTGCTTCCAGTGACTAAAGGTGCCTGAATGTGGCTCCCACACCTGGGGGTTCGGGAGGCCTCTCTGCACTGAATCCATGCCTTCTTCAAACACAGCGCCTTCTCCTTTGGGTACACCTGGGGGCAATTTAACCAACGTCACCCATCATTGTGTCAACAGCTGCTTATGTGTACGTGTTGAGTGTCAGGCAGAGGCTGGGTACCGGACGTACAGTGAGAACAAATTAGACCCAGCACCTGTCCTCATGGAACTTAGAAACACTTTAAAAAGCAAACACAAGAGTGTATATACGCTTATCCATTTTGATGAACACTATGAAGGACAAATGTAGTGTTTTAGGAGAGAAACCAGAGAGGAAATCTTCCCCCAGTGAATTTTCAAAGAAGGTCTCTCTGAGGAAAATAAGTGAATTAGAAATTGAGCCTTAATTCAGGTGAACATTAGAATTCTGCCTTGTGCAGATGTGGATATTACCACAAAATTGCTTCCTTCGTGTGCCAAGGAGCCGTAACAGGAAATAATTGATTGTGTCGGTCAGCTCATTTGAATGCCCTCTGAGTCAAAGCTAGCTTGACATGAGCACAAACCCTGACTCAGCTGCTGCAGGTGGCGCCTCCTGGAGCTTGCTGGAAGATTCCCTCCTTCCTTTGGGTAAGTTCCTGCAGACCCATCACTGACAAACTAAGGACCACCGACGAACACGACAGGGAAAGCTGCGATTCTCCGACAGAGCATTTGACTGTCGTTTAAGGGTCAGGGCTTTGAACATCTCATTTTATATTTGAAAACTTAAAGCCATTCATTTCTAGCAGAAAGGAGCCCAAGGCACCATCCTTTTTGTTAAAGATGCATTTGTATGTACACCAGAGTCCTTCGAAAGTATGTGGAGCTGCAGAAAAAAACTTACCATT